ATCGTTGTTATAACTTGTGCAATACAGTTTGCCACAATGCATATTATACATTCAGATGCAGGTTAGAGCAGAGTCTTTAACATTCACTCTATACACAAAATAAATACCCCTTTCTCAGACAAATTTGTGTCTTTTGTGTTGGTGGCAAGTCCCAAGCAACACCTGACAAAGAATACTGTTTCACTTTTGTCTACCCTTCATGTGCTTAGTTACAGATACTGCTCCTGTGGAGAATTTCAGTCTGCTAGATCGGAAGTTTAAGATATGCTTTCTGCTGTTAAGTGCAACATTCACATCGAAGGGCTGAAGCTAGGAGTTGTTTGTTAGGCTCACTGGGCCTGTATTGTGAGACCAGATTCTCAAATAACAAATGGTATTATTGCTATCAAATTCTGTTTTATAAAACAGGACTGTGTAGGGTCTCTTCAGTCATGCAATAAGTAGTTAATCGCAAAACTGGTGTACAGACAGTTGTATTCATATCTTAGTCATTTACTATGGTAGGCACTTAGAGTCATTTCAGAGAGGTTCTCTAATGGTTTCTCTTCATTGCTGCCAGGGCATGCTGCTCGCTCATCATGGTCAGCTTGCTGAACCCAGACCCACTGGGACTCTTGGGCTCTCTTCAGCAGAGCTATGCACGAGGCCACTCAGTCCCCAGATGTTACTGCTCCATCCCAAGTGCAGGACTTGATGTTTATCTTTGTTAAATCTCAGGCAGTTCTTGTTGGCTTAGTCTTCCAGCATGTTGAGGTCTCTCTGTATGGTCATTCTTCCTTCTGGTGTATCTGGCTTTCCTCCAGTTTGATGTCATCCATGAACTTGGTTAAGGTGTATTCAATTTCATCATCCAGATTATCTATAAAGATACTGAATATTATAGGACTGTCAATTTGACTCTGAGCCATTAACCACTGCTTTGAGCTATAGACAATAAGATTCATAAGTCCTTGTCTTCTTACATTGGCTGAGTGATGGAAAGATGACCTGGTCCAGAACAGAATATTTCTCACTGGATACCAGACAATTTGAGAACTTCTGGCAAAGAGCAAGTCCTCTTCAGCTGAATGTATCCTACCCACAGAAGTTTAAGCAGTGTCTGGAAAATCTTTTGAAAAGGCAGCAGCTGAGAATGCAAGACCATGATGTAGATCTCCATTCATGCTTTTACTGTACAGTGTAGAAATGGAAAAGAATAATAATTTGCCTGTAGCGGCTTCTCCGAGGTTTCTTTTTGTTGTTAGTCTGTAAGTTCACAACTCGTCCTTCTGTGCTTCTTCTTGAAGTATGATTTAAAGAAAGAAAGAGATTTTGTACTTGAGAGGATCTGCAAGAGATGAACAGACCCTGCTCTTTCTGTAAGAGGCGCCTATGCAGCACTGAATTTGAGACGCAAGCATTTGTCATTATTAAGTTAAAATTTGAAGCTAATAATGTTTGTATACAGGTACATGAATTATAACTGTACGACTATACTTGTACAGGATATGCTACCTATAAACTTTTCTTAGCAATTAGAAGTTGTTTTCTAAACAGTGAGTACAGCAAATATTGTTTATCTTATTTCATAACAGCCTTCTTCAGAGGCATTGAGCAATTTCAACTCCAGTTAACTGTAGTACCTCTGAAAATGAGACTATCCAGATCTAGTACATTGTCTGAGAATGTTAAGGAGTAATAAGCAATCATAAGGCAGCATCCAGTTTTAAATGTGTTTCTGTTTTTAGAAGTCTTTTATGCATGTAAAATAAAAATGTAGCTTTTGATGCTTTATAAATGTAACTTTAAATTTTCACGAATTTTTTCTGTATTTTGTTGTGCTGGTATGTGGGCAGTGATTAAACGTTGCTGCTTTTGTTCAGATATTTTATACACATTTTAAATGCAGATTAAGTTTTGCATTCTGTTGGAGCCAAATTTTATTTTAACCTGCACTTCTACTCTAGCAATAGTTTAGTCAGACCATCTTTGAAATTAATCGATGGACAGCGTATCCCAGCAAATCTAGCTTGCTGGCACAGTTGCCAAGGGTCAGAACGTGCTGAAGATAGCTGAATAAATAAATAATGCTGCTGTTGTAATGATAGCAGTACATGAGCTATCATAAGTGACATGGTTTACACAAGTAATCCCCACCACTCTGCAAGTTAGTTCCCTTCTGTCTCAAGACTATTTAGTTCCTAAGAGCAGTTGATTCTCCTCTGCTTTTCTGACCTTCTGCCAGTTGGAGGATATCAGCATTCCAAAGCAAAGTTGTACCAGGTGTCTCATTTTGCTGCAGTCTGTGATGTGGAATTGGCGCTAGTATGTTGTTTCGGGTTTCGTAAGCAGAAAGAAGCTATAATTAGAACGAGATAAATAAATATATCCTCTGCACATCTAAGTTCTTCTATTCAATTGTTATTTTACTGTGGGAAATGATTTTGAAAGGTATACCCATTACTTATCTGCATGCCGCTCTATTGTAGTCTTGTGACTTTCAATAAGTGTTTTTCTGTTTATGAGCCAACATGTCTTGTGCATCCACAGAATTTAGTGCTAACATCCAGTCGCTTCCCATTTTTCCAACTAATGGAAAGCTGAGCAGCTGTCGTAAATGGCACTTCTGGAAATCTGAAAATAAACGTGTGATTCTTCCTGGACAATTTTATTATAGGGTTTTATGCAAAGAAACATGCTTTCATTCTCAGAGTTTAGTGTAAAACTTCAATTTCTTTATTACAAGTAAGAATTTAATTATATACTGGGTATTTAATAGAAATAATTCACACAATAAACATGGACTTCATAATATAGTTTTTTAAATTGTTATTAAATGGACCTGTATGTTTACAAGAGGATTGGTTTTTTGCCTAGAAGCAGGACTTGAAAAATCTATGAGCTGGAAATTGTAATTTGTTAGTTATTTTAGATGCAAAAGCTGAGAGTCAAGGATAAGGAGTAAAATCAGCTGTTACTCGCTACTGGAAAACACTGATGGAATTTTTAACAGGATTCAGTACTGCTTGGAGGATCCAAGGTCTTACCAACATAATGGTAAAAGCTGGAAGCAATGTGCTGGCAGATAGGCAGGTAGTGGAAGAACGCTTGCTCTAGATGAGTTTTCAGATGTGCTAAAACCTATGGTAAAGTTGCATCATGGCTGACTGTGTTCCTGATGTCTTCCCAGGGTAAGGTACCACTTCTCTGTCAGTCCTCGGAGGAGGATCAATGCATACAACCTGTTCTGAGTGTCCTTCAGCTTCTTTTTTTGGATCCTTCCTGCTGCCTGAGTAACTCCTGTGTTTACATGTTTTGCTCTTGCTTGCAACCTTTGTAACTCAACAGACACTTAGCATTGAATTGTTTCAAAACTGCAGATCCAGAGCTGACAGAAGCAGTGTTAAGTTCTCCACAGGCTTAGTTTTGGCATTATCAAGCTGATGTGCCTGGAAGACAGGGTAACGGAATGTATATTTGTATCAGCTTGTGCTTGTTTCACATTTTGTTCACAACGGGAAAAGTGTTTTTTTCTAGAAATACAAAATCTGGAAGTATTTTTCTGTTTAATTAAAGTTTTAATTCTAGAAAAATTGTTTTCCTTAGTTCCCATGACTGCTGGTGGACTTTTTCCTGCTTGTCATTGAAATGTAGATAGATCCTCGACTCTAGTTGCTGAGTCTCATTTTCTGAAGGAATGCAGTATCTGAGACTCTCCTGTCTTGATGCGAGCATCGCAGAGTGTAGTTGTTTGGCAGTAGCTTTTTATTATACTGCTTCTCCCATTTCCAGGGTTTTTTTGTATTCTTTTTTTTAATTTGATTAAAAACGTGAATTTGAAGCCATGTTGCATTACTAGCTGGACAGTTTTGTGTGCCGCGATTTGTGCATGCATCCAATGCTAATAGTGTACTTATTTCCAAAATACTGGTTGATTATACAGAAACTGTCAATTGAGAACTTGTTTAACAAAAAAATAGAATGGTTTAATTTGCATATGGATATAGCTTTCATATGTGCCCATCTTCATCAATGTTTAAATAGAAAAAAATAAGGTCTGCTTGTAACTGCCACGGTAGAGTTTAATCTGTTAATTCTGAAGAAGTGAAAGTTGACAACTTAATTTTGAAAGGAGAGAAATCTGGCATACCCAGATGCCTCAGCTAAGATATGCAAAATACTTGAGGAAAGACACGGAGTAATTCACTTGTCCTTGAGCTACGTGTCTAATTTTGTAGACAAATAAAGACTGTAAAGCTGCTTTAAAAAAGCCAACTTAACTTTCCATTACAGAAGGTTTCAGTCAAGTTGGGGAAGAGAGTTCTTGCCCAGTGGGCGCTATGTCTTTCATTATTTAAAAATAAAAAGTAAAAAAATCAAAATCTCTCAGTAGTTACACTTGAAGTCAGGTTGTCTGCTTTAGGGCATTGTGGCGTTTGGACAAATTCTGCTTGACTTGCAGACTATTTTGTTGAGGTAAATTTACAGTTTTAGGAGAATGCAGTAATGTCTTAGGGAGACAACTGGAACCTTCACCCTTCCCACTTTTGAGAAGCTAAATCTGTGCTTTTTTTTTTTTTTTTTCTTCTTAAGCTTTGAAGTCAGGAGGAGACTGTCCTTTCTTTTCATGGTCAGAATTTGTGGAGTTTATAAGCTTTAATAGATTTTTGGTGAAATAACTAAAGTTGCCTGTTTAAAAAATGGAAAAGAAATAATGAAGTTAAACTCATTAGAGATGTGGTAGGGAGTATTAAATACATAGGTGAGTATATTTGGCTCAGTAAATCTTAAGGTCCTCTGCCTGTAAACAGAGCAGGAGCCATATGCCAAGCAGTCAGTTGTCCTAAGAAAGGAGAGGAGGCTGAAGAAACACACAAAGAAATACAAATAAAGGGAAGTAACCATAAACTAGCCAGAAGTCAGAACTGATCTGTCAGTGAGGCATTTATTTAGATTGGGGCTTCTCAGCTCTCTTGGAACCAGATGAGAACTAGACCAGAAGTGACGGCTCGCACTGCAGCCAAACAGTGGCTGGGAAAGGAGATCCGTGTGTCCTGCTCGATTTGGGTGTTGCTGAAGAGGTTGGATGGAAGCCTGGCTTTCTCGATTGGTGAATATCATGAGGAAACATGCTATCTTTTCTATAGCTTTTTCTTAAAATTGTAGCAGATTTATAAAAAATATGTGGTATTTGGGTATTAGTTGAGTAAGAAGTATTTAAAGCTTTTGGATCTTTATTTGCATGCTTTGTATTTACATTGGAGCTACATTTATAAAACATATTATAGCACTTCAATTAATTTTGGACTCTTCAATTGGAAAATAATGATATTTGTTTCCAGATTTTATTGGTGGGATCTTTTTAATTTTGAATTTTAACTGGTAAAACCTACCATGCTTGTTTTTCTTATTTGAACAGAAATTCTGTTCTTGTTAAGAAAAAAATATTTTAAACGGATTTTCTTGTGTAAACCACTATAAAGTGATTAAAAGTGATAAGCTCTTCAAAAGGCAGTGTCTTACAGTATTTGAATAGCTTACATACTAATTGGTTTTTCAACTGTGTTCCTGGCTCACCTGTGACTTTTTGTTCATCAGCATGTTTTGCTACAAGGTAGTATGTCCTGTAACTTGCTCACTTTTTTTAGACTATTCCCTCATTACGTGTTTTGCTATTTCATTATCATGTTTTCAGTAACTTGATCTGCTTTTTGAGTTCTAATATAAACTATTTATAGAACTTTCTGTGCTCTTTGGAAGAATGGTTTGCTTTTATCTGTTTCTGGTATAAAAATTAAAAGTAATTTCTTTAAATTGATTTTGAGGTATTTATTACTATAAAACTGAAAATGAGATCAGAGGTTATCTCATTGCATTTGTCCTTTATAATAACATTTGTACCTTTACCTTTGAATGTTTTGATTTCTAGGTATCAATCTGTGGAACAGTAACTTGCTAGTATGAAGCCAAAAAGGAATTAATTAATAGTTTGTTGGTTTACATTTAAGGTTTTTTTTAAAGAAAACTATGTAAATGGAAGAATAATCTGAATGTGTATCGTATATGCAGCATTAACTTCCAACTTGTTTGCAGTAGTGATTAATTTGAAGCTTTACGTAGAACAGCCGGTAAGCCTTTATAGGGGATGTCATTAGTATTAAAGAGGAAAACTTTCACCTTTAACAAGATTTTTTCTTCTATACAGCTTGCCCAATTTAGGCAGCGGAAGGCACAAACTGATGGTCAGAATGGATCAAAGAAGCAGAAAAAAAAGAGGAAAACAGCAAACATCAAAGATGAAGAATCAATACAAGACGGGATTGATACTGATCGATCTCGAGGTGATGAAACATCCACGTGCAGCAGCCGAAGGGGAGCAGCTGCTACTGCTGACTTTGCTGTTATCAGGACTTTGCATAGCGGAGAAATTATCAGACACAACCAGACTTACACCATTGAGGTAAGTCAGTCTCAGGCTGTAACCAGTTACTTTGTGGGGGACAAAGTAGTCCCTTAATTTTGAGAGTGGGAATAAAGGAATTATATGAGACTTTGGCTATTTCCTTGCCTCCTCTGTCTGTCCTTCATATGTCCAGAGAACGTGCTTTCTACCTGCCTGCTGGCATCATGTTTTCTGTGGTAGTCAGTGTACTGTAGATTATGGGAAGTTTTTGGTACTGCTGTATTCCTTAAAGGGGCAAAAATTGTTTTTGTTTTATTGCTTCATTTTATGCGTTTTGCTTTATTAAAAGTTTACAAATTGCAGTGAATTTTTAGCTACATCAAAATGCAAAACTAAACACCTTTCTTGTATCCATAATGTAATTTGAGTCTTTCTGGTTAATGAGGAGGAAGAATGAATTTAGAAAACACTACTTAGAACTGGATGCCTTAAGAGACTCATCAGCAGATACTCTACTTTTACTACTTAATGAAATATAATCCTGACTGCTAGTGGCTGAAAGCACATGCTCTGGGAAGGTTGTAAAATGGCCCGTGTGATATCCACTGTCAGTCCAGTCAGTTCTGAGTGGACATGAATTCACGTAACGTAATATGTTGTTCCAGATATGAGGGGCAAGAGATGCTGATGTTATTTAAAGAATAGCTTATTCCATTTGTGAAAACAGTGCCTCTTAAAGGACGAGTGGCATTCTGAACAAGCAGCTCAATGCAGATTCCCAGCTCTCTGCACGTGAGTGCAGTTTTTTCTGAGAGATGTAGTACAGATGAATGCCCTTCATTTTGACTTGTCAGTCCTGTGCTAGGATAGACCATTTGTAACTATTTTGGCTCCATTATCTCAGATCCAGCAGCTGAGAAGTAACAGAGAAATGACACTTTTTGAAAATTTCTTGCATGTGTTAAAAAAAAAAAAAAAAAAAAGAGGTTACCCTGGTGGAAGGGCAGACAGACTAAAATGTATGAACATGCAAATAAAAACTTGTAAAACAATTGATTCATTTATTTTACAATTTTAAGCCTACAGTATGTCAGCACACTAGGTATTTTTAACTTTATAGATACATGCCTGTAATGTGTAGCTTTCCATACTTAGAAAGCTCATGTTAGGGCTTCAGAACTGGTTGTAGTATCTTAATAAAACTGTCTGTTCAACTCAGAGCTTTTCTTGGAGGAGATAATAAATTTTTTTACAGAGTATTTAATACCAGAATTACTGTTTTCATAGGTGAAGATGAGACTTTTTTGCCTTCTAGGAAAAGAGAAAGGTGTACTTTATGAAATGCATCAGGTTATCTACAGCTAAGGAGAGAGGACTGCTAGGGCAGACAGCTGTTTAGAGAGAATCACTTAAACTGTTGTTTTAACGATATTTTAGTCTACATAATATGACAACTGAATGAAGAAACTTTCTAAACCAAATATATTTTGAAGTACATCATGATTGTATGTTACAGATGTACTTGCTCTCAGTCAGGATAAATAATCTCTACTGCAGTTGGAGAAACAGGGTAAAGTACAGAACCATAGAATAATTTAGGTTGGAAGGGACCTCCAAGGTCATCTAGTCCAATCTGGTGCTCAAAGCAGATCTAGCTAGATCAGGTTGGTCCTGGTAGGCTATATTGGTCTCTGTACAAGACTAACAAGGTCTAACAGTACAAGATATGGATGATTTTAAAAATGGAAAAAATATCTGCACTGCAGTTCCTAAAGACTGCACACATAGATTTATTCTTAAGATTGGGAATGATTTTTCTGAGGTCTGCCTTATTCCCAGAGCAACTTATCATATGTATAAATAAATAAAGAGAGATGCATAGGGTTTTTTGGTTTGTTGTGGTTTTATGGGTTTGTTTTTGTTTTTTTTTTAAATATAGCTTTTTAAAGAGTAAGCATGGTGATTAGTGTTTATTTGTAATTTGACTCTCCTGAATTACTCATGTCTTAGTGACTTCTAAAACGGTATTCACTTCCACCAGAAAAAAAAGCTGCTTCCAACTGGGAGAACATTTTTCATTGTTACATGTTGTCTGTGGCCTGCTTATTCATGTTAAATAACTAATTGGTATTGTGAAGTTGGAAGATGATTGCTAAATTCTCTATCTGTACAGTATTAGTAGAAGAAGAAAAATAATTAAATAGTTTCAATGAATCTCATAATTTACTGTTTTTAGTCTTGTGAGTGCAATGATTTGGACCAAGAAGCCCGTATTACAGTAATTGGATTAGAGCTTGCTTAGTTGAAATGGCAGCCAATGTAATAGGCAGTTTCAGGCTAATCTCTGCGATGGAGAATTACAGACAGCTTCTTTGAGCTGTTTGCTTTTTCACCCAACATTAAATCTTTATAGGCTGCTGTGTCAGGAAAGTAAGGCAAGATTACTGGAGGCATTATGCAGGATTATTTTCTAGCTAAATTCTGATTCCCCTTACTTATTTAATCTTTTACTGGAATTATGTTTAGAATTGTTCTTTCTCTACCACAAAATAGACTCAGAACATCTGACTGTATTGCATATCTGTCTAAAAATCCTGACTAGGCTCTTTTGTGGTAGTTTTGCGGATAGAAGTTTATCTCCCCGCAGTTTTTCTAGTATGATTTTTTTAGTCCCTAGTGGAATTAGCATGTCCAAATACAAATAACAGAGAGTTCTCTTGCTCAATAAGAATAACAAAAAGTGAAATAGAGGTACTCCTCTGGGAGCTTATTCTCCATCTGAAGTTAGAGGAGTTCCTTTTCAGAGGGGGCAAAAGTCTGTTCAGGGAATTCAAAGTTGTTTTTTGCAGTCACCCCTTTCCCTTTTTTCCTCTATCTTCCCAAGGGTGGGTTCCTCCATCCCTTTGTAATCCTTCAAGTTACAGAAACTAATTGGAAGAACTCTGGAAGAACTGTCATTGTTTTGTGCTGTCCTTATCCATTCCATTTGACCTTCTGCCTGAAGTTATTTGTAATTTCTATAAGGTTTTCCATCCTCTGTCAGAGGGACAGTTTATTTACAAGATTTAATAGAGAAATGCCAGTTGTTATTTCTTGGTTAAAGTCTCTGGGTCTTAACTTGTTTCGTGTTAAATGCTTTTTGTCTTGGTCTCACAAGGAGAATAATATGTTGAGTTTCTAGCTGCCCTTGGTTTTTGTCTTTATTCAGTTGCACCCTGGTATCTTTTGGTCTTGACATCTGTAGTGTCCTTTTCCGTATGGAAATATAAATAAAATAGAAGACACAGCCTAGGGAAAAAAATCAATGAAACTCTTGGGTTTAGGATTGCTTCTTTTTGTGACTTCCTGCAAATAAAAATGGAAGAAAGCAAAAGCCACTTCCAGGGTAATTAATTGCTGAGATCACCTTCTCTGAGAAGTCTTGAAATGATGCATCGGAGCAGACTGCTTTGCAAGAAAGTACTAATGCCAGGAAAGCCAAAGAAATTAACCTGTGGCACAGTAAATTTGTCCTTGAGTCACCTGGGTAGTAAAAGCTATTATACAAAGCTTCTTAGAAAAGAAAAGTTCAAAGTTATGTGATGAAGAATACCTGATAATTGACTAAGGTTGGATTAGTAACTCGTCTTTTGTTTTTCACAGGACAAATCCATTTGGTAATAGTTTTAGATAGCTTAACAGTTTACTCAAGTAGGTGATAAAGTTTATAGCTCCGTGTTCATTGTTTCATTTCTCCAGTTGCTCGAGGCTGAGAACAGGCAAGGAACAGAAACAGAGTAAGAAGGAGACACTGGGTAGGATTCTTGAGAAGAACTGAGGAAGAAAAGTGACAGAAATAGGGAAACATAACCAGTGTGGAGAAACAGACAGGATGCCTCAGTAAGAAAAGGCGTAGGTGGTGAATGTGGGTAAGGCTTTCCTATGATAGAAGCATGGAAACAAAGAGCAACCAAAAGCTTTGAGTAGAGGGGAGATATTCTGGGATGTACAATAAGACAGAGGATTAGAAAAAAAGGATGAATAGTTAAAATGTAGTAAAAATTAGTCCAGCCGCTTCAGATAATCTAGCATCCCTTGAAAAATGTTTTGAAATTGGAGAATGAAGATAAACAAATGTTTGGAAATGGTCTGTTCAATAGTAAACTCAGTGCCACAAGAGATAATAGATTCTCAGCAGCATGTGGTTCTGACTGAAGCCAGTCATCTTTCCATTCACCGTCTGGCCAAAAGATTGCCAGGATATCTTGCCAATTTTCCTTGATGCATAAGACAACCTCTGGTATGATGCCTTCCTTTGTCTCTGTAAATACTAATATATAATAGATTTGCTGACATGGAAATTACCTCTATTGAAGAATGATCTTTGCAGATTTACAGAGTATTTCGTTTTAGATTAAATATTTATAAGGACGTATTACAAAAGAATAGAAGCCTAGCTAAATGCTTAGGTTACCTCTCTGTTGGTGATGTTTTCTGATACAGGAAATTTATACGCTGAGGATTGGGGTACCTCGCTGCAGATTATATTCAGATTTGGCAGTGGTTTGTCTCCACTAAGATATACTCTATTTAAATCTGATTGTAGTCAATTGGTTTGGCTTATAAATTACCAGGGAATACATTCCTTTGAATTGAATGGTTTTCAGATTAGGAACTAAGAAAGGCATGACGAGGCAATATATAAGAATAGCACTCATATTCAGAATGTTCTAAAAATATTAAAGACCCATAAAGTTCAGGATGACCTAAAGAGAGGGTTTCGTGACTGGGATTTTCAGTTTACATTCTCTTTGCCTCCCTTGCTAGTTGTGGTCCTCTTGACTAGTCTTACTCTGGTTGTGATCATCTATCATCTATAACTAGCAATCCATGCGAAACTGACCAAGCTAAAATAAACTTGTTTGACCACTGGCTAATACATGTTCAAGAATGAATCCAGAATTTTGTAGCTACATTTTTGTAACAGTTTACACAGAGGTCATAAAGAAGTCAATGATTTACTTCAGGAATAATTTTGTTCCATGAATACTCAGTCTTGGTTCTCGCCCTTTAATACTCTCATCCATTGCAGTTGGGGTAGTTTAGTGCTGGATGTCCATTCTTGCAAAACATTTTACTGTCACCTATGAAAGTTTTCTAAAGAAACATAAAAATCACTTTTCAGTTCTCATGGGCCAATTCCGTACATGAGTTCTTTTGTGAATCGTATGTTAATGTTGGGCCTCCACTGCCAAAGAACATGACTTCTGAGCAATACTTAACTGCATACAGAAGCAAGTTACTCTGAAATGGACCTCCTGTGTTCCACAGGCTGATTATTTCCTTTTTTTTTGTATCATCTTGCAGTATTTCCTCTGAAGAACGTATACAGACGAAGGTGTTCTTAATTTTCTGAATACTTAAGTGTTATCGTTAAAGGCACTACCTGCAGAGTTGATGGAGATAGTTACCTATAACAAGTCTTTGAGATGCCTGTTCAGTGTATTTTAACTACCATCCACATTGTCAGTGCAGAAAATATTTAATAAAGAATTAAAGCATCTTGCCAGAAGAGAATAGCTGTTTGTAGCAAGAAAGTGCCGTGGGGCATATGTGGTAGAATACGTGCAAACTAACAGCCTGAAGTCAGAGTTTAACAGAAACCTATTTGAAATTCCATAAAATATTGAGAGAACTGATGAATAGCTTCATTGGCATTATCCTGTCAAAAGATGTTTTGTTGCTAACAGTGTGCTTATATATGAATTTTGGGAAGTATTTCCTTTTAAACTGGACCCCTGTGGTTCAGACAGATGAGCTATGTAAAACCTAATTACCTCTGTTGACCAAAGAAGAATTGAAGCATACAGAGTGGATGACTTAACAATGGAAGGAACTGGATTTTGAAATAAGGTTGATCAGGTCTTAGAAGCAGAACATAGCTGCTTGGAGGGCAAGATGAGTGCCCGTAAAATGTTGACTACTTGTAATGTTGCTGATTCTGACAGCAAAAGAATAGCACTAAGTCTTACAGTGTTGGAGTCTAATATATGAGCCCATAGGCTGTAAGTCTTTTTAACTGATTTTTAGCAGGGTTTGGATGAACCCCTTAGCACAGAAGACAGATCCGTTTAACTTGAGTTCATTTGGCCATCTTTCTGTACTTATCTTCAATAAATTCCTTGGCAAAAATACTTGGTCTTAACAGCCAAAAAACTATCTAGATGCAGAATTGAAGGAGGTATTTTAGAAAGATTATTTATGCTGCTAACAGATATTGCATACCTAAACTGATGAAGCATTATATGGGTTTTGATAATTTTTTAAAAGTTATTTTAGTTTTTTTTACTTTAGATTGGTGTTCAGAAAGGACCAGCAATATATTAATTTTTTAAAAATCTTGTATCTGGCCAAATTACCATTAAAAAATTAGATAATTATTTTCAGTAATCACCTTCCTTTAAGAATTTGTATCTTCTCACAAATTCTTTGCCTTTTACTATGGTTATCTACTGGGTTTGAGCTTATCCCAGGATGTAACCATTCATTTATCATCTTTCTTATAAACAAAGGGCTTTTTGTATAATTCAAAAACATGACAAGGAAGAACTATATAAGAAGTCAGTCCTTGGTTTTTACATGCTGGAAAAGTGCGTGTTTTTCATATGCTATATAAAGAACTTCAAGAGTTGTTACATCTAATTAAATATGTAAATGTATAGGAATACTCCTAAGCTTCTATAGGAATACTTCTAATCTTTCTTTGTCTTATGAATTGGAGCAACCCATGAAAAATTGTAGGATGATATGGCCATACATTTGTTATCTGTTTTATGAAAATAAATAACAACGTGGTTTTCCCTGGTTTTATTCCTTCTAGAGGATTTTGTCCTAGACCAAGGACATAGACTACAAACAATATATAAAAATTGTGTGTGTGTATGTATATATATACAAATATACATATAAGTATATATAGTATGAATAAAAAATTCTATAAAAACTTTCATATTGATAAGTACTAACTGTGTATTCCATAGCAGAAACACTTTTGTCACCCTATAGTTTTAAACTACAATTTTGTTTCAGTTTATGGCTTATTTTTAAGGTGGACCTTTTTGATCTTTAAAATCATATGCACTGTATGAATTTCAGCTTCCACATTCATATTTTAAGTTAGTTTTGTGCACTCTGTACATAAAATAATACCCTTTTTTTTTAGGTTAATTACACTGTGGAGCTACATACTGGATTCAAAATATGTAGAATTGATGATGTTGAGTTTGTAAAAACTGCAGAGCTCCAGTAAGTCTGAATGGCAGATTTCTTTTAAAGAAAATACAAAACACAGTTAACAGTTCCAAATTTTACTTATGTCTACTGATGCAAAACTGACTATGTTCCTTTGAAAATAAGCCTGACAGAATTAAATGTAAAATGGAGACTGATTTAATGTAAGGCTGGCTGACATGTTAAGTGAATTTTGAAAAAGCCCCCTTATGTACACTTCATTTTTGCTAAAGTAGTTTTAACTCAAAATTACACTTTTCAAGTTCAAAAGGGTACTTATTTACTCCCCAGTATAGTTAATTTGAATATTTTGCATATTTTCCTACTGACATCTTGATTCTCAAACCTGATGCGTTGTATGTAGTTCATCAGGATACTCTGTATTTAATTCAGGTTGCTTCCATGGCATGTTTATGCACAGTTTGTAAAGGCTTTGTTTCTTTAATTGCTCTAATTCATTATATCACAGGATTTAAGTCTTTGTCCTTGTTTTTCCTGATCACTTTTACCTTTCCTTGGTTTCCATGGAAGCTGAAGGAGAATACGAGTGTTTGTTTTAAAATTCTAGTCAACATCAAAAGTCTTGCATGTATGAAAATGACATTGTACAGATGACTATGTTCTTAAGCCAGTAAAGTTCCTAATTAGGTAAAATTGATCTATCAAGGTCCTTTTCTTGGTACTCCTTGTTTCTTTAAAAAAACCAACAAAACAAAAAATTATGTTACATTTCCAAAATACTATCTTGTGCTGTAGGTTGTATTTATGTTAGAAGACTTTGTCATATAATTATGATGTTTCCGTGATCATAGTTGAACAGCAAAGTAACATTTTTCTTTTTTAAAGCTGGGATTTCAAGGAAGTGAATATGGCCTTCACTATATATATATTCTCTAATCAAATTCATGTATACCTTAATATTTTCAAACACTGCCTACATTCTCAGAAACAGATGGAAAATGTCTTGTTTAATATTTTGAGTGCTGTCATTGTAAATATTTTAATATTTTATTTTAGCCAGAAAGTGAAATTTCCACTACAGTAGAAGATTACAGTTCTGAGGTAAGACTAAAAGTAATGCTTTTCCTAACTTTTCTTTCAACTTTTTATTTTGCATGTTTACTGAAATACTGCACATTGTTTTTCAAAAAGAGAAAGAAAGAAAGAGCAGACGTGATATTATAGACAAAGCTGTTGCATGTCATTACTGGTATGATTAATGTACCATTAAAGGAGGCATTATGTCAGCTACATAATGGGATGGCTGCTATAATCAGTAATGCAGTAGATATAGGAACTATTGCAACAATGTCATCATTACGGTTGTATTAATGATTCATGTTGCCATTGGACTTGTGGCTGTGCATAATTTCTACTAGTTTTCTGTGGGAAACTGTTTAACAAGTTGATTATGTTTTAATGAGTTCCAAAGCAGCCGTTGCTCAGCGACTGGCTAGGCGTCAGTCTGCTGGTGGGAGGTGGTGAGTGATTGCCTCTGCATTGCTTGTTGTTTGGGGCTTTTGTTTTGTTTTCTTTCACTTACTAAGCTGTCTTTACCTCAACCCATGAATTTTTCTTGCTTTTGCACTTCCAATTCTCTCCTCCATCCCGCTGGTGGGGGAGTGTGTGAGTGACTGGGGGGGGGCTTAGCTGCTGGCTGGGGTCAACCCACCAAATCTGCTACTCATCTCTGTCACATTGAAGGGTTTGCTGTGTTTGTAAGGAGTAGACTACCTCATGCATAAATGTGGGTCAAGTACATGCTTGCAAAAAATAGCCATGGAATATCTGAGTACAGTAAATTCTGTTTCTAGTTTAAAAAACTAATTTTTCATGTCTCAAACAATTGCTTTCTGTAGTGGCAATCTGGGATTTGCTTTGCACATATTTGTGCTAAATGCTTCTGCAAAACACACCCCAGACTCTTAAGCTTGGCAACAAGTAAGAAGGGATGAAGTAATCAAATGAGTGTTTGTTGCTGAAGTAAATTTGGTGTGGAGTTCCTTGTTCCTCTCTTGATTTAGGCTTTTGTCAGAGATGACTACACCTTGGAATAACTATTTGTTCCATACTAGTGTTATAGCTGCTTATGTGAAGCCTAAGGGAATATACACACCAGATGACCTGTCACGCTGCATGGTGCAAAAGTAATATCATTACCGCAGCGGGCAGTCTAGACATGCCCTGAAAACTGGAACGACTTTTCTTTCCCAACTTAAATGCTCTGTCTTTTCTTGCTTCTTCTCCCAGTGTATTCTCTTGACCAACTCTGTGTCTCTTTTCTATCCCCTTGTTTTTTATGAATTCTTACCTTCTCTGTAATAGCTCCTGGCAATCTGTTCACCTTCCCTTGCCCATCCTGTTTTTCCCCTTGCTTGGTTTCTTAGCTCAGTCTTACAGGATTTTCAGCCTGTTTCTATTCTTCCTTTTCCTTCCTCAGTCATTCTGAAGGCCAGTTTCTTTCCCAGCCTTTCCAACTTTAACCAAGCATTGTTTTTCCTTCTTTCTTCTTTTAGTATTTTTTTCTCCCTCACCCTTGAAAACCTCTTCTCCTTTATTCCCTCTTCTTATGTTGAGGTCCTCCTAATGTTCAGCTCAACTTGTCCTAGACAAAAGTGGTAGTTTTTCTTTCCAACTTCTCTCATCAAATTCCAGTTACAGTTTCGTCCATAGATTTAGTCTCAGCCTTTTTAGTTGAATTCTTTTCCTGTTCCTCTCTTCCCCAGTTTGACTCTTTCTCTCCCACTTTTTCCTCCTGTCCTTGTTTATAAGCACCCTCACTTTCTTCTGGTGTGTTAGGAGAAGGCACTCGGGAGTACAGGAAAAATGCTCCCGCACATTCATTATTGGCTACTTTCAAATACAGAATACTGAGCCATACAGACCTTTGGTCTGGTCAGTTGGGATTGTTCTTATGGCACGTTTTTTGTCATGCAAATTAAAAAAAATAATCTGAGACTGGTACTTTTGGAATCAAAGATTCCAGTCCAGCTGCTGGGGAGTGCTGTAAATGAAAGAAAAAAGATTTTTATGGAGGGGTAGGTGCAAGGGGTTGAAGCTAACTCTACCTGGGGAAAAAATCAGTTTAAAGATTTAGTATTTTTCATAGGTAAAATGTGGTTTGTTTTGTCCAAGGAATTAATGTAGCAAAGAACAAAAAGAATCTGAGATTTCTTTATGTATGGTAAGATGATAGGGCAGTATGTGCACACAGTTAGCCATTGAGACTGTAGCAAATACACTTTTGAACAACTGCTGTGACCTTACTGTACCTTTTTAGAATATGCATCACCATGGTATGTGATTACTATTAAATGGAATATGCAGTATGTGAAGAATGAACCCTTGAAAACAGTTGACAGTGGCATTGATATTCATGTATTTTTACAAGTGAGAGCTATTATATATAATGAAATACGACTAAGAAGTTTTGATCACTTCTGAGGTTGTAGGAAGCAGTATTGGAGCCATTGCACAAGCTCAAGAAAACACATCTTTACGCAAGGAGACAGAATACAGAAAAGATCTGGCATAATGCCTCATGATAATTGTGAATATGTTCTGGTTTTTAGTGGGGTTTGTTGTTAGTATCAGCTGAATTCAAAGCTCTCATTTTAAAATGAATTTTCACACCTAAACACTTGACTTTACCCTGCTTCATTCTTCAAAGATTTCTATAGGTGGCTACAGAGTATATAGGGAGCAATTCTTCAGATATTGAAGACAATAGAATTACAGCCAGACTGCCTTCTGATTGTGCCTTTTAAGAAATTGCGTATTTCCTCAAAAATGCAATGACAGATACATTTCTAGGCACTTCTTATTCTCATTCCTGCAGAAAGACTTTTTACCTCCACGAGAGTTATTTTCTAAGACATGAATAGGCAACACAAAACTTGTAAATAATAACATGATGCTGGATTTGGTGAAGAACAAATTCAAGTGGTGAGAGTTTCTATCTTAATAAGCTCTTTTTAATTCCGGTTCATTACAGTTGGTTGGTACCTGCAATGAGGAAACAACATGTTTAGGTATGCATATATTTTAGGAACTGAATTTTCAATATGTTTCATGTCATCTGTAATGTTAATTTTATTATTAAAAGCTCTACTTACATTCATGGCCACCCTGTAAATGAAGTGGTCTGAAGCCTTTTCAGTTGAAGAAGATGAGAATAAGTTAAATTTTGTCTGTAGCAGTATGATTATGAAGTATGAAATCTTGAGCTTACCTTTTTTTGGATACATGACCTTCTTTTTGGAACGCTAAGGAGCCACACATTTGTAGAAACATATGCCTGTTGATCCATCCTTTCCCTCATTGTTTAGAACATCTCTATTCCTTTTACGGGTTTTTGTCAGAAATCAAGTTGAAATGGAGGCTGTCATGACTCAAAGTGAAATAGGTCATAAATCATTTGTTTTGCTGTAGTCAGTAAAATAAGTCAGATGGTTTTAATTCTTCAGCCCCTTCTCTTGAGGAATTGGATAAAACACAGTGGTAAGTATTTTCCTCTTTAGGAGATTTATCAGACGCACAATTACAAGCCAATACAGTTGCCTAAGCAAAGTTGAAGGAACCAGTGAATGTTTATATAAGAATTCTTGTCTTGAAGGAATTTTATTGTAAATACAGTCTCCTGTTCAGTTTCGTTCTGCCACCTCTCTAAATGTCTACACTATCAAAGGTAGTACCCAAGCTGAAGACTGATAAATCCTTCATATGACTGGCTTGCCTTTTGTAACAAATTATTCAGTCTGAGCAAGAATGGGACCTACCTGCATAGTCTTAAATTAAACTATAATGGTGATTAGCTATTTAGAGGTTACGGTCTAAACCCAGAACTAAGGGAAGGTAGGCTTTTGCCAACAGTTAAAAATTTTTTGGGTTTTATAACTGTGTAAGGTAAAGTTGCCCCTGTATATTTTCCATATGCCTCAATTTTATGGTATAATTGAAAGACTGTTCTACCTGATGTATTTTTTTTCTCTTGTTGACTCTCTTCCCAATTTGCAAAGTGTACCTCTGAAAAGATGGTTAATACAAAGTCTACAAGGTTCTTTTTTTGGAAATGTTAATGAAATTCTATACCTAGACCTTAACCACTACGTAAAGAAATCTTCTGTTGCATGCTATTAATATATAGAAAAATACATTAAGCCATGATATTTTAAAAAGCCATCAATTGTTATCCTTCAGAATTTATTAACCTTAGTTATATTATATGACTGTACTTATTTTCATCACAAATGGAGAATGATCTTTGTTTATAGAGTATAAAAAGAAAAAGCAGATTAAATAAATTTTTCCAAGTTGCCCTAATCGCTAATTTTAGCTAAGATTCATATAGTCAATTGTGATATAACTAGAAAATTGAGGAGAGGCTAAGAACATTGACAAGCAGTGTTGGAGGTCTAGGTATTAATTTTTGTGAAGGAATCAGATGTCCAAAATGTGAAAGAAGGGGGGGGGGCGGGGGGAAGAAAACATGAGGTAAAATTGTTAATCCATTCCAGATACTTCTGTGTGTTTCTACTACCAAATCAAAGCACTTTTTTAATCAGAAATTTGCTTGCCAGTCTGTCATACATTAAATTATTTTCATGCATCAAGTTACTTTTAACATTTTTCAGTGATTGAACCATATGTATTTATTTATGCTGAGTCTAAAGGGAAATCTCTGTAGCACTGTCATTAATGTTATAAGTAGTTACACATTATATATAATTACTGCTATTTCTGAGGTACAATTTCAGGTCTTCAAAGGTCTAAGGAACATTAAAAGGGGTAGAGTGATTTCATAAATTTAATCCTGACCTCTGGTGGCAATTGTCATGAATCGCTGCTTTAATTCAGTGCTGGAAGTTGGTTTTCCTTGTGTTTGGAAGAAGATTCTTTTCATCTGTCTTAAGCATATATATTTACTCATGCAATATAAATTATACCTTTATTTTTAGCCAATAAACTACAAATTATGTTTTATTTTATATTAGGAAATAGTATTTCTGTGAATTATTTTGTAAATACAAGCAAGGAAGAAAAAACAGACAGAACGTCCTTTGAGGGACTTCTATAACCTTCACTTTTTAATGTCTTCTGTTCACCAAAACAGTTGCTTGTGGGTAGCTAGTGTGTTGCAAAATTTAATTTTTTCTTACTTTGTCATTATTTGTTTATGCAGTTATATCAGAGCTCTTGTTACTCCTTGCTTCCGTTGTCTTAAAATGTTTTGTGGTTTGATTGTTTCTTTAAATGTTTGATTGTTTGCTGGGCTATGTAACTTAAGCACAGCATAAGGCATTAAGGCATGAGGACATTTCAGCCTTAAAGGTGAACTGCAAAGCTTTAAAAGAAGAAATTTATGAGTCTACATCCATAGTATTTATGGGCTTGCAGAGATCTCTCTATATAGGTGAACCACCAAGGCCATGAGACAAAACACAGAAGTCCAATAGGCCTTGTATAGACAGACATCTGTTAACACTGAAGTTGGTATCTGGACTACAAGCCTTCCTATATTGCAGATGAGTGAAAAATTAAATTTAAATTAAGATATTTTGAAGCTAAGAACAGCCCAAACAGTCTGGCTGCTCCGACACAGTGGAATTTCTGTCAGGCCAGAAGGTGCCAGGCCGCTTTGCGAGGCTCCCGTCAGCACAGCACCCTGCTGCGGCAGTCTGGCTGCTTTTTCCGTAGATTACAGTGCAGATTGTTGTCTTGTCATGGTCCAACTTGCACTTTACCAGAAAGCATAAGGCATTTGAAAGGAGAAGGCATCAGATGAGAAAGAGCATGGGCTACCATGTTGTTGTGCCTCACTTCTGCGATGTCTAAGAGCTCAGCTCCTGTGAAATGGGGTGGGATTTCCCAAGTTCCACGCAGTTGTTTTGAATGGGTATAGCAAAATCCGTTTTATAAGTAAAAGGTCTTTTGTAGAAATTTCAGCTGCTAAGGAGTCTGGAACATCTAATGAGATTAGTCTTTTGTGTCTTTCCTAGTAGCGCTTGTTATAAAGCATCTAAGAGTCTTTGATTGGTGCACAGAGAAATGATTCACGGGAAGAGAAGCGCATCCACTGTGGTAGATTACAAGAATCATACACTACATCTTTATCAACTATGCCTAAATAAAATGGGAGTTAAAAAAAGGAAAAGAGGCATTTCACAATAGAGTTTCTATTAAACTACTAGTGTTATTAATCTGGGCCATATGCCAAAATCTGAATAAAGACATTGGTGCCAGGCGCTGTGTAGGCACTTGTATGTCTGAATGTTGAGTGAGCATCTGGTGATACCCAAACGATGTGCAGTGCCTCTATGAGTTGCATGGACTGCTGTTTGCTGCAATTTTCTTATTCTTTCTAAAATACGGTAGTAATCTCTCTGTGGTGTCTTCCTTTTTACTGAAGAAGTCAGGAACTAAAAGGGCACTATGTCAGCTCTGCAGATTCTTGTCTAATGTAGGTATATCCATTCTCTTAATACAAACTCGATGACTATATTGATCCCATTTATAACTGTGTACTTCTGTCGGGTAACTTATTGATTTCCTCAGGCATGATAGTCCTTTGTAAATAAGCCCTTATCTAGACTATGGCAGATGTCTGAGCAGTATAGCATCTTTTTTTGATTTAAACATAGTATTTGCGTCTGAAATGCTATGATGCTTTTCCATCTCTAGTACCATTATTTTTGTTTCAGGCTCTGATGGAATAAACAGCTCTGAGGGGAAATACAGCTGTTCTTGCTTTCTCATTTTAAAGCATTGGTCTGCTGTTTTAAAAGCCTGCCTGTCTGTTATGATTACTCACAAGTACACAGCACATTCTTTTCATTTGGATTTTTTTTTTTTTTAAACCTATAACTGCTACTTTGGCTTGTGCTCGCCTTTTGGAGATTTGTCATTATTGGTTTGCACAGTCTGTAGAACCAAAATTCTCATAGAAGCTGAAAGGTGTTGCAGTTTTAGGTGAGTGAAATAGGATTTTTTCAAATGTCTTATGTTAAATATATAATTTCTGCTCTTTTTTAATCTCAAGAAATTCCTTCAAATTGAGGATAGGAGTCCATTATACTGCCTTTCATCCACTGTTGAGAGATTGGTGACTTTCAGAAACAGTAAATCTTGGGGTGTATAAATACCTTTGAGAAAGCATAGTTATGTTTACTAATATAGAGAAATATTAAACATGTACTTTAAAATGCAGTAGTACTGCATTTTAGTAATTTAAAATATAAAGCTTTGCATTGACCTTTAAATCTGAATTCCTTTGTTTTCTCTAGATGTTTAAATTCATAATATGGTTTTTGTTTTTAGACAGTAGTATCTATTTTTGCAATTTTGAGTGTTTACATGTTACCTATGCTTACTTTGATACAATTTACTATATGTAAACCTGTTGTATTTCAAATGAAATTAATATTTGTAGCATAAGAATTCCCGTGGGTCTGCAGGAATCATCACATAAGATGCAAATGAATGGAAAATCAAGCTTTATTTCAAATAATAATTATTTAGAAATTTTTTTATACAGGTAAATGGTTGCAGTTTTGTGACAAGAACAGCTATACCTGCAGACTTAATCAGGGTACAGTATTGCAAATTGAGTCATAATACTAATGGCGAATACTAAAAAACTTGGACAATTTATTTTGAACAAAAACTGTGTTGCTGACTAATACTTTATTTTGCATGCTGTGCGCTGCATCTGTATTGTTTGTTATATATTAATATAGTGTATTGTTAACCTTGACGTGCAAAACAATTTACTAAGTCTATTAAGGCTAAGATTATAAAGCAGAACTCGCAGAAACGCTTTATGTCAGTGCTTTTGAGATGTGAATTTTACTAACAAAGGAGGTTACCATGGCAATAAGATCTTCAATGCTGTATTGTATGTTAATGTACTAAGGTGATGTTTGATACAGAATTTGATATTTGAGTTTACTTACTGTGATAAAGCATAAAAAATGGCATGTTAAGCGACTTGGATTGATTTAGGAAGAAGAATTTGGAGTTGGAGAGATTTGTTCTGAGCATGGAATGCAGCACTCTCACACGCAGCTAGAGGTGATGGAGAATGAATTGGCTGGGAAACAGCAAGAGATCGAAGAGCTAAACAGAGAGCTAGAAGAAATGAGGGCAGCATATGGTACAGAAGGATTGCAACAGGTATAATTACCTTATGTTGCTTTCTACTTGCTACTCGGTTACATGCAAAAATGCAGAGCATCACCTGAAAGAGTTCACACAATGGCAGCTGTTCAGAATGCAGTCAGTGTGTGGTACAGAATTACATGTAATTTGTTTCAGTCACATACCATGCGCTATATTTCTTTGAATGGCATTTCCATTGTGTGTCCTTTTTCTCTGTATTTTGTGACTAAAATTCCAGTGTTCTTCCCAGTGACTTTCTTCAAATCAGGAATGCGAAGACGATTTTCTTCAAGAAAAGCCCTAATTCTTCTCTAGTTGTGCAAAGACTGCATTTCTTTAATACCTTCCTGTTCCTCCAAGATCAAAAAACCACAGGTTTTACTTCCTAAGGAATGATATAACTGAGTTGATAGTAGAACCAAAAAGGTATTTGTATGTCAGACTTCACAGTCTGAAATACAGGGCAACTGTGACAGAACGTTTCAAGAAATGTCTAATAACCTGGGATTACAGGAAAGTATTTCTTACTTCAGAAATACCACTGGAATTTAAAGTTAGGTTTTAAAGTAAAGAATATTAAATACTTATTCTTCCAGTTTAAGCAAGTGGTGCAATGCACTGAAGTCAGTGCTTTGTCATGCTTCATGTCTTACTTATCTCTTTTAATTCGGATTCAGGTCACATTACTGCATTTTTCTATTTTTTGCAAAGTACTATAGAATACCAAAATTGTTCTAATATTCAGTCATTTTCACCTTCATTATTATTGCACAGTTATAATTTTTTCTGCTTTCATTTGTATTTTATCGTGAAAATGGATGTCACATTTTCCACCACTAGAGTGATCTTTAAGTGGTTGCCCTGGAGGAGGTGGTTTATCATTCCTTTGTCTGTTGGTGAATCTCTGGTGTTGCATTTTAAGTCAAACTTAGCTTCTAATTACTGTGTCTTGTATCTGTTGTGCTAAACATAATAGTCATAGCATAATAAAGAACATAAGTATAATTTTAGTTTCTCACATTTGTAACTACCGTTAGTTTTTCCTGAAAGAGGTGAAAGTTAAAGTGTTTGTGTTTTTAAATGGCTATGATTACTGTTTTAAAAATAAACTAAAAATATATTAAAACAGGCTGTGGTACAATATTTTAATAGTTGCAGCATATTTTTGTATGATAGTGGTACAGTGCATAATATCTCAGTTGAGAAATGCATGTGGTTTATTTTTCAGAAGAAACAAAAGAATTGTAAAAGGGGAGTGTGGAAGATACCTTGTGTGCTTTAGTTCTGCCTGTTTGTTAAAGAAAAAATTGAATAAAAAAAAGTTGAAAATTATCATATAGAAATGTGTGGATCGGAACAGATAAATTGAGTTGTTCAGTTTCATTGAAGAGGTGCAAAAGGAAAGATATGACACACTTAAGAGTCTGATCTGTTCCTAATTTGCTCTATTATAACAAACATGTAGTATTTCCACTAGATCCATGCTTTTCAAGTAGTTCACTGCAGTGTTCTGCAAATAACTTTGAAAATAGTTCGGCTTGTTTAAGGGAGGGACTTACGGTTTTTATGTCCCACTGAATAATGTCCCTATTCTCTAAATCAGTAAGCTTTATCTGGGAGCTTTATAGTTTTACTTCAAGACTCAGCTTATAACCTGGAGAAGCTTCTTTTTGGGAGCATTGTAAACAAATTACAGAAGGTGGCTGATGGTTTAAGAAATTTCCGTATGTAGGGATGAAGCTTCCACTAGCCCTGAATTAGTTCAAATTGACAAAGTGACTTTAAAGTGAGTAACATATCTATTTGTATAATTGCACATGAAAATGGTCCCAATTAACATTGTAGAATTTCTGGCTGCCTGAGTGTAATCCTATAAAAAATAAAGCATTTGCAAAAGATTTTTTTCTCTACTTTTATAATTTCATCATTACAAATTACAAAAGATTCATCTATTAAATACACTGTATCAGTTCTGCAGCTTGAGCTGATTTTCTTATGTGGTTATGAATAATTTCTCTGGGTTCACAATGTAGGATACTGCATGATATCTGCTATATGCCTTTAGTACAATGAATGCAATTTATTGCACTTTCAGTAAGAGATGATATAACTTGCATTTATTGTGGGAAAAGTGTGTGGACATAAGTAGTCGTACAAAATTGTGGGAACACTAGATACTCTGGCTTCCTTTATGATGGTTTGTTTACGTGGCCATGCTTTTTAGTTTGAAAGAAATTTATATGTTTAACTAATTGATCTTCTTAAAGGTTCAGATTTTGTTCTTTGATAAATACATTTTATGGAGAGGTCATATATTGTTAAAGGAGGGGAAAAAATCTGTTTCTGAACTATTTACAAATAGAGTTTGTGAAAAAATACATGCTCCAGTAGGTCTATGGGACATCTTTTAAAAGGAGAGGTTAGGGATGATGTATTACTACTTAACTAGAATAAGCCAGTATTTTTCTTTGTCTGTGGCTTTGATGTGCACTAATAGTTTAAATTTTATCTTTTGTAGCTGCAAGAATTTGAAGCTGCTATCAAAAAAAGAGATGACATTATCACTCAGCTCACTACTAACCTACAGCAGGCACGGAAAGAAAAGGATGAAACTATGAGGGAGTTCTTAGAGCTTACTGAACAAAGTCAAAACTTGCAAATTCAGTTTCAGCATGTAAGTTACAGCACTACCAATATTTATTTAGGTTTGAAAATTGATGTCACTTTGGAGGGTGGTCCATAAATGGCTACTTCCTGCAGAAAGACAGAAATTTTTGTGTATTTTTGAACAATTGGTCTCTTGGTATAGATCAGCAATCACTTTACCGGTCCTACAGTTATCATTATAGTACCTGGTGTATTGTATTAATTCACGATAAAATAATAAAGATCAGTCTGTTTTCTTCCCTAGTATGTGGTGATAGCTTCTGATAAATACTGGATGATGGCAGTTATCTTAGGGAGAAACACTTGTGTAATTAGTTCTCAGAGATTTGGGCTGAAATCTAACGTGTTCCCTTTGAAATCAAAACAGCCAGCCATCAGCTTCAGTGGGCCACCATTTCATGCTCCAGTCCTTCCTGTATTTTTGGGTAAAACCTTCATCTTGTGGTGTTATTAGAAAGTAATTTAAATAACAAAGTTAAGTCTCAGATAAGCATTTGTTCTAAAAAGCACTGGTGATTGGGGTGCCATGGACACTCTGTTAATCTGCGTGACTACAATTTACAGTGTTGCAGTTGAATATTGTAGTATTTTGTGCTGTTTAGGTACTTTATATAGCTTTTTTTGAGCTTCAGGTGAATTATATTCTGAAGCCGAGTTTTTATTATTAAAAATCAGATTTTGGGGAAAGTAACTACAAATTGGTTCATTTTACTAGTTAGAAATGTTTCTGAGACACTGCTGTACTGTGCTAGTTCACCATAAAAGAATTTAATATTCAATACTTTTTATTGGTTGGCCATTCCAAAAGAATAAGGATATTTCAGTTCCTCCTAAAAGAACTTAGAGAATTTAATAGTCTTTGGGCTTGTGGTGTGGAAGAAGAAAGTAAAGATCACTCTTTCTGTAGTGCAAGCTGTTTCTGAAAAACTTGATATATTTTAGGTTTTATTCTTTTTATGTTCAAGTTGCAGGCAAGTGAAGCCCTGAGGAACACCAGCCATAGTTGCACAGCTGCTGATTTATTGCAAGCCAAGCAACAGATACTTTCACATCAGCAACAGCTAGAAGAACAAGAATGTCTGCTGAAGAATTATCAAAAAAAGAATGAAGAATTTGAAGTGCAGATTACATGTCTTCAGGACAAAATTGCAACGTATGAAATGGTATGTTCCTTACTAGAAAGATCTCTTTTCCTAGTCTCTTTTTCTTTTCAGGCTTTTGTAGTTCCTTTGAAATGTAAGGGCCAAAGCACAGGTTATGAATATGCTGCATATAATGCATACAAAGATTTTAAGTTTTTAAGACTGCTTCTGTTAACTAACATGTAAAATGTGTATAATTTCAAATGGAAATTTTTATGTCAGTATTATGTATCAAGTTTTAGAAAATCGCAGACATATTTACAACAAATGATGAAACTGTACTGTATGTTAGAATGCCTTCATTAAATGACATTAGTTTGTTAGGAAAAAATTTTTTAAAACCTGCTTGAACAATTTTTTCCGTCTTAAGGAAAGAATGAATTATTTTCTTCATGTACATTTTTTTAATTATCCTTCATGGAAAACATTTAAAAGTACCTAAAAAAATTAAATGTCATTGAAAGTAACAAGAGACAAAATTTTCAGTAGATTGCACCAAATATTTTTTTGAAGTATCAGAGCACAACTGGAAAAAATTGAAGGGGTTTTTTTTTGGGTGGGGGGTGCAGGAGTATGATGTGGGGTGGGGACGGGGATCGTAACTTCTTCCAAAGGTACAGAAAACCTCCACATGAGGTCAACAAATAATTTATATTTAGTTTTATAAATGATCACTAGCATTCTAAAGAAAGGTGTACTTAAATAGCTAAGTCTATAAATGTTTTTATATGTTCAGATATCGAACTAAAATAAGAACATTGTTTTGCTCATTTTTTAAAGGAAAAACACAAAAATGAGGAAGAAGATTTGAGTAAACTACAAGAAAAAGAAGCATTAGTTGAAGAGCTGGAAGCAAAACTTGGAGAAGAAGAAAAAAATTCAAATCAGCTTAAGGAAAAATTATCAGATGTCAGTAAATTACTTGAAGAATTGAAAGAACAGATTTCACTAAAGAACCAGGAGATAAGTAATACGAGAGTTGAACTTACCACCTACAAACAGAAAGAAAGACAATGTTCTGATGAAATAAAACAATTAATGGGAACTGTGGAAGAATTGCAGAAACGATGTTATAAAGACAGCCAGTCTGAAGCTGACGTTGTGCAGAGAATGGAATTAGAAACACAAAGGAGACTGGCACAACTTCAGGCTGAATTAGATGAAATGCATGGCCAGCAGATTGTACAAATGAAGCAAGAATTAATTAAGCAACATGCAATGGAAATAGAACAGCGTCTTTTGCAACAAAAAGTAGAATTTGAGAAAACTTCAAGTCTGTGTTTGAGTGAGAGTGTTAATAAAGATCAAATGCATTTAATGAATATTAAAATTAATGAATTGAATGTGAAATTGCAAGATGCTGATAATGAAAGGGAAAAAATGAAGCAAGAATTGTCACAACAGATGGAAGTAATTTCAGCAGAGAAGTCTCTTCAACAAACTAAAATTGAAGATCTTTTCCAAGAACTGAATTTTTCAAGAGAGCAGGTTCAAAGAGCCAAACAAACCATAGTGGATATGGAATGTAGATTAAATGAAGCTGAAAAATACCAGTTTGTGATTGAAGATTTAAAAACTCAGCTGGCTTCTGCCTCTGAATTTAGGAAGGAACTGGAATTAAAGCATGAGGCAGAAGTCACAAATTACAAAATAAAACTTGAAATGCTAGAAAGGGAGAAGGATGCAGTTTTGGACAGGATGGCAGAATCTCAAGAAGCAGAATTAGAGAGACTGAGAACAAAGCTTCTGTTTAGTCATGAAGAAGAACTTTCCAGACTTAAAGAAGACTTAGAAAAAGAGCATATGGTGAACATGGAAAGCCTTAAAGATAACTTGAATATGCACCATAAACAGCAGTTAGATGAGGTACAAAATGAAATGAGTCAAAAGATAGAAGCCATGCAATATGAAAAGGACAACTTAATGACAAAGCAAAATCAGTTGATATTGGAGATCTCAAACCTAAAAGATTTACAGCAGTCTATTGTAAATTCTAAATCTGAAGAAATGACACTTCAAATCCATGTGCTGCAGAAGGAGATTGAAAAGCTTAGGCAAGAGGAAAAAGAAAAAGCTACCCTTGAACAGGAAATTCAAGAGTTGCAGTTTAAAACTGAGTCACTGCAGGAACAAATGAGGGAGAGAGAAGATAACCTTCAAAAAAAATGTTCAGAACTTGAAATGCAAAATAACCTTCTTAAGGGGGAAAACAAAACTCTGGAAGAGAAACTAAAAAGTATGTTGGTAAGCTCTGAAGAAAATGTCGTTTTTAGTAACAGTATTAGCTCCAAGTCAGAAATTTTGGACTTGCAAAAAAGAATAGAAAAACTGATCACTGAAAACGAGCAACTTAAAAACCAAAACGGTCAACTCCAAGAGGATACTGAAAGGCAGAAGAGTGCCTTTTCATTTACTGAGAAAAAACTTGAAGCTAATTATAAAGACCTGCAGAAAGAATGTGCAAGTCTTCTGAAGGCAAAAACTGAGTTAGAAGAGAACAAGAATAAGCAGGAAGCTGAATATAAAAGCAAACTCAAAGCTTTGAATGAAAAACTTCACCACTTACAAAGCAACAGACCAGTTTCATTTAAAACTAAAGCTTCTGGTTTTGAAGGGAGTAAAGAAATCAAGGTGTCCGGAGCAGACACGTTTGAGGCTGGGGAAGTTGTTGAAAAAGATGCGACAGAACTTATGGAAAAGCTTGAGGTTACCCAGCGTGAGAAACTGGAATTATCCCTGAGACTTTCCAATCTCTCTGAACTGTTGAAGTCAAAGCATGGTGAAATTTGTCATTTAAATGAGAAAGTTAAATCCTTAAAAGATGAGAAAGAACAAGTTCTAGCAAAATGTAAAGAACTAGAAGTCATAATTAGCCATGCTCAGAGAGGAAATAGTAGTAGTAATGACCCTAAGACAAAATGCTCTAAAGTAAAAGCTCTAAAGACTGCTGCTCCAGCTACTTCTGAAAGTAGAAATAACCCCCCTGGTCCAAGGAATAAAGTTGATGAAGGAATAAATGTAAGAGGAAATATAGGTTCAGGTAAAGATATCAGTCATAAGGTAGCAAAAAGAAAGGATGTTCAGCAAATGTTGAAAACAGAACAGCAGTCTCTTATAGAACATTTGCATGAGGTGACAGATGAAACATCGTTAATAGCCATTACACAGAGTGAAAATAATAATCTTCAGCAGCAAGTGGATGCCTTAAAATCAGAACAGGTGCGTTACATAAAGTGGTACAGAAAATAATTTACCTATGAAAATTAGTAGGAGCTTGCACTTGAATATTTGCATCATATTTTTCTTATTGGCTGCCTTGAAGTACAGGTGTGTGGACATGTGTGTGTGGCAGTGTGGCCAATGGTTGAAAGTGGTTACACGAATGACCAGAGTGATAACCATAGTCAATGTGTATGAGATGCTATTTTTCAGTGAAAGAAATATTCTTTCCTTACATTTAGTTAAATCAACAGCAACAAAAAAAGCTAAGGAGGAGACACCTAGAGCACTTCAACTTTGATACAGTTTTAACTTACTTACTTGAGGTGAAAGCTTATTCAGGACATAATTTTTTAATCTGTGATTAGCTTTTCAGTTCTCTTAAGTACTCATTCAAACAATATAAAGAGATAATGAAACTCTTGACTTCTTAAGTCTTTTATTAAACTTGCAAAATATCAAAATTGTGAAATGCTAATCTTCCATTTTCAAAATTTTTGTGTATCTGCGATTATCACTTCTTAAGACATGTATCTGGATGTGAGCGTTGAGAAATGTGTGAAGATACACAAGCGTATCATGTGATTCTAACCAATCTCTACATTTTGTTGGAGAAATTTTGCTTGTATTTTTTGGTATTGTAAATTAATTGCAGGTAGTATGGAAAGGATTGTTACTTGCCAACAAAAATAGCTAAGTATTGAATTACCAATATTTAATTAGGTGCTGGAATCATAAATCTGGCTTTAAATTTATATAGAGTGATGAAGTTGAATAGCATGCTGCAAAAAGTATGCAACTAAGTTTTCTGTAGAAATAGGTGTTAACCAGTCTTCTACTGTTTTTTAGATTGTTTTTTTCTTGTTCTAAAAATCCATCTAACAGTGAACTAATACTACCACTGACTAATTTTGTGTTGGATTGTACATCATTCATTTCCTAAGAAATAAAATCACAAGGAAAGCCACATTGGAAACAGTTGTGAGATTATAGAAAAGAGCTACAGCTCTATAAAGTATTTTATTTTATTTTTTATGAGGACATGATAAGGGTCTTGCAGTTTCCTGGCATAGAACTAAAATACCATTATGGTCCAGAGATGTCTAAAAACTTTTTCAAATTTGGACTCTAAATAGCTCATTATTGGTATATCCTAAACATACTTTTGCTTTAGCAATAACATCCCCAAAAGAGCAGTCTAGAACTGCAGGCTTTGCAAATAAGTGTTTTTAAGCTCTGCTAATAATACAGTCTTTCTTCTGTATTTGGAGTGAACATTAATAACTTACTTTGTTGGTAGCGATATTGCTGTCACTTCATTGGGGTAAATTCATTGGGGTTTTATTGCTGCAAAATAGGAATTGAAGCATATGGACTTTTGTTGATTTTAATTCAATTTTTATTTTAAGTTGAAGAAGTGTCATACTATTTTGTTACAATTCAATTTTCCAAACTGTGTATATTTAAATTTACCTAATGCATACCATATATGCGGCATTCCATTCAACACATTATTAATTCCAGAAATTTGCAAAGATGGGACTTTCTTGTCTTCTTGTTTCTCACTCTTTGTAAAATGTGTCTTTTTATTCTAAGGCTGATTTACAGCTACAGATGGAAGCACAGCGCATTTGTCTATCGCTGGTTTATTCAGCTCATATAGACCAGGTTCGTGAGTACCTGAAAGCAGAAAAAGAGAGTGCACTTTCCAGTCTTAAAGAGGAGCTTGTATGTAGTCATCTACAAGAGATGAATGATCTTAAAAAAATGCATCAGCTGGAGCTCCAGACCTTGAAAATTCAACAAGCAGGTAACGTGACTAGAATTAGGGGAGTGAAGGTCTTGATAAGAAAAACAGTGTCTTTAAAAGAAAACAAGCACAGGAGTTTGTGCATGTAGCTGTGCAATGAATTGTTTTTATAGAACATTTTGAAGTCCTTTTGTGCCAAATTATTTACCCATTACAAGTAGTCTATTACTCAGGGTACTTAAAAAAAAAAGTGATATTAAAAAAAAAAGGAATAGGAAGTTTTACAACTCATGTTTTGCTATTTGTATTAGGCCAATTAATTGTAAAGACCTGTATAATATATTCACCTATAAGGTTGTATTCCTTACTGAAATAATAAGCACATGCATCAGCAAAATATTTTTGGGCTTGTTTCATTCTCTGTTCTTTAAATTCCTGCATTGGCTCTGTGCCTACATTAAGTAAGCTTCTTTGCTACTACTGCTTTGCTACTACTTTTTGCCTCAGTGAGCTTTTATGTTATCATGCTGGTTTTCTATGCCTACTTTTTCTATCATCCCATGATTTGCCCTTGTGTAATTTTTTGACATAAGTTCTTTGGCCTCTATGTTTCTGAAAAGTTTGATCTTTCTAGAGCTTACTAACACACAAAGCCATTTCTTATCACTTACTGCTCTTGAACATGCAGTTCTACCGTAATAATTGAATCTGTCTGTATGATGGAACAAGAAAGAAGGGAACAAAAACCTATACTTTTCTAAGAGCTGAAGAGGCAACCTCACCAAGGCAGGAGGTTAGGCCTTTGAAAAGTTGTTGTGTATATAGTGTTTAAAAATAATATGAATAATTTGCATTCATAGATGATGAAGTCAAATCTACACAAAGACTTATAGAAAAGCTGAATGAAGCTGTAACTGAGGAATGTTCTAGGCTTGCTCAGGTAAGACTTAACAAAGAGTCTTTTAAAATGGAAATTTTGAAAACAAAAAATTAGGTGTACAGTGATTCATCATATCTTTCTACATCATTTTTAACAGGTGTTCTTTGCAGCTTTTCTCTTTGCATTGATCTCAAAATAGAGACAGCTAAACCTGATCTTCAAAAATAATATTGCAAGGTGTTCTGGTTTTTTTTTCCCTAAACTCTTTTATGTCCTTGTCCAGACAATTCTTCTGTCTTATACCTAGTCTTGATCTTCTATGTAATGTTTGTCTTATATCTACTCGTTTGGAAGTAATTTTTTTCCTTCCCATATGTCTCTGGCTATAAGTTGCTGATTTAACAGCTGTCTGAAGTAATACACTTCTTGACACACAGGACATCACTCTCATATCTGCAATAAGATAGTAATTTCTTTATTAGCTGCAGCATCTCTTTCAAAGACTTAAAAGTGTCTATGAATCTATGAAAATTACTGTCTCTATTGTTTTCAGCAACTAAATATTATATTCAAAAGTTGAAGCTTATTTTTAGTCTATATTCTAGTGTTAGCCACCAATAATATTATTTTGCCATATCTTTTTTTGTAGACTACTAGCAATCAATGGCCCTTACAGGTACTTTTTGAACCAGCAATCAAGCTACTTATTAAACTTATTTCTGAATAAATTAAGCTACTTTCAACATTCATTATCCACCATGGTTTTCCAATCTTAAGTACTTCAGATCGTTGGTTTTGGTGGGGTTTTTTTTTTTCCTCCTTTGCTGGACTTTTTTCAACACCTTTTGGGGAAAGTGGATAGCAGAACTTTTTTACTTGAGGGCCAACATAGGAATGATTAAGCAGGACTCCATGATAGCGCATAGAAAGCAGCAGCCAAATGAGAGTCTTTGGCATTAAAGAATCCCACTGTGTGCTCTGGGCAGGCCAAGTTTTTTTTCAAGTATCATTTATTTTCAGAAATCGTATGGGTAAATCTGTTTGCCTACTCATCGTAAATACAGCAGCTATTCTGGTGGCAAGATAGCACCAACAAACACGAGGCCTTCTGTTTACGATTTGCTTGAGTTTTCATCCACCACCCCCTTTTATCCTATTTGTTCAATACTTAAGAACAAGATGAATTGTAATCTCTAAAAAGATATAGATTTCTGCCATAGGGAATCCTTCCAAGTAAAATTACTGTTTACGAGAACGAGACATTTAAAATGTAAACTTGCTTTCAGCATTAATAAAGGAGACCTTTCTATGCAAGATTTTTATACTGGGCAGTTCTAAATTAAATAGTCATGCCAAAATAGTCATGCCAATGTATTTATGTTTTAGCTGAAAAGTCTTCCCATATCTGTTTCTTTTACCAGGAGTATTAAAGATTGTCTAGGTTCTTATGACTCAACAGAACATCAATCCCATCACTTCCACAGAAGACAATACTCAAAAAATACTACTTTCCTGGCACCATTTTTCTTGTTTCCTTTGTGAATTGTGATTAATAAATTAATAAACAATTCTTCACTTTTTTTTCTTTGTTTCATTTGTTGTGCAGGTTTTATGTGACAATCAGAATGAATATTCTTCAGCTGTTGTAGAAGTTGGTGATAGGGAACAGGATATTTTCCGTAGACCTGCTGCTATGAGAGAAAAACTGAGTGTAGAATTACCAATACACAGAGGTCAAGCTCAAGGTAATTGCATTGTACTATGATGCTGGTTAAAAAACAATACTGATTTCAAGTATTTCAGATTGCCAGTTATGCCATTAGTTGTTCAGGTGCTAATTAATAGGGTGCTAATTAATAGCTAAGTAGCTGCTTTAGAGATTTACTCACTATTCTGAACCACTTTTATTTTTTATTATGAGTTTTTCGTGTGCTGTTTTCATTATAGTGGAAATCGGTCAAAAAAAGTATTGGGTGTTTTTTTCTTTCTCCTTTCATAGAAGAAGTTAGCAGCTCTACCAAAAACTTAATATATATCAATACTATATAAAAATGCATCCAAAATTTGCAAGTGGCCTCACTTGTTTCAATAATATGTAATATTTATCAGATAATTCTTCAATGGAGAACTTGTGAACAGTTCACTGCACTAAAATTTATGGTAAAATGTTTGATTTAATTTTTTTTTAAGTCCCTGGTTATCTGTGTAATTTAGCTGTGCAAGAACGTATGGATGCACTTCTACACAAGATAATGGAAGAATACAGTAGGCTGAAAGCATTGCAAACACAGCTGATGAAAGATTATAAACAGGTAAACTTTTCATAGCCTATGAATATATGAGCATTTCAATTTTCTGTTGCATTAATTCCCTCTGGATGAGTGAAGAATGTGTTTGAAATTGTGTTTATGTACCCTCCTTGAGTGGCAGAGCAAGACAATGATTTGATAAAACGGAGATAGCTGCTACCCATGTCACAGGATCATGGAATCGCTGAGGTTAGAAGGCACCTCTGGAGTTCATCTAATCCAACCTGTTGCACAAAGCAGAGTCAGCTAGAGGAGGTTGCCCAGGACTGTGTCCAGCGGAATTTTGAATTTGCCTTTGTTGAACTTCATGAGGGTCCTCTCAGCCCCTTTCTCTGGCCTGTTGCAGTACCTTGAAACAGCAGCACAACCACCTAGTGTGTCAGCCACTCCTCCCAGTTTTGTACAGTCTGCAAACCTGCTGAGGGTGCACTCTTGTCCCATCATCCAGGACATTAATGAAAAGGTTAAAAAGTATTGGCTCCAGTATTGACTCTTTAGGTACACCACTAGTTATTGCCTTCCAACTGGACTTTGTGCCACTGATCACAACCTTTTGAGCCCAGCAGTTCAGCCAGTTTTCAGTCAGCCTCAACATCCCCATTCTTTATCAGTTTATCTATGGGCATGTAATGGGAGGTGCTGCCAAAAGGTTGGTCAGGTATGATTTCCCCTTCATAAATCCATACTGGCTACTCCCAAATGGAGTATCTTCTTGGCTTCATGTGTTTGGAAATGGCTTCCAGGATTATTTCTCTGTCAACTTCCCAGAGATCAAAGTGAGGTTGACTTGCCTGTAATTCCTCAAATCTTCCTTCTTTCTCTTCTTGAAAGTGGGAGTGCTTTTATCTACTCCTCAGAAACCTCACTCAGTCACCATGACTTTTGAAAGATAATTGAGAATGGCTTCGCAATAACATAGATGAGTGTATCACATAAGGCACCACCAAATTGTTCATGTCCAGTTTGTTCCCTAACCTGATCCTCCTCCACCAAAGTTGTCTTCCTTGCTCAAAACTTTTATGCTTATCTCGGGAGCCTGGGATTCCTAAAGACAAATTTTATCAGTAAATTTGGAGTTAGGTACTTCCATGTATTAAATAGAGTACTCTAACCAATTATATCTAGAGATGATTGCAGTTCACATGTACAGATGGATACACACGTACAAAAAATATTTGTACATGAAAACTGCATCTTGGGCCTGAGGATGGTATTAGTGTCAACCTCTCCTTCTTGGAGTCAGAGGAATTATAACTTCACAGTTTGTATCCAGAGAGAGTAGTCTGAGGTTCACAGGGGACATTCTGCACAGGCTGATCAACCAGCTATACGTGTATACTTGGTCATTCAGGCTGCAAAATGAAATACATTGTTACACTCTCTTATGCATTGGCCACCAATCTTTCTTATATGTTTATAATCACAGTTAATATTTTTGCATTGTTGCTAGACAAAATACTGTCATTTGTATTTGCTTGATTATTTTTTAGGTCAAAGAACCATGGCTATCTTCTTCAGAAAGGAGGAAAGAAGAGGAACCTAGCTACCTGGAAACAAGAAAGGAATGTCTGCAGACCCCTTCACAGGGTCTAATGGGTAAAAAGATGCATACGCTGTTTTTAATGTGTGTATATTCAGAGAGAGAGAGAAGATAATAACTTTAAATTCTAACTGATTCATAGCTTACTACAACTTGAAGCACAGAAGAGATTTTGCAGTATGATACTCTAATTTTCTTAAATCTCTAAAATATTCTGGAATTATATTCTGTGAAACAGTTTTGGTTTAGTCTTTTTCAGTTTTCTGCTGTTAAAGTTCCATTACCCGTATCAAATACAGTTTTGCAAAATGGAAGATTAAGTTATAATTATTTGTTATGGAAAATAATTTTTATGATATCAGAAGGAATTTTTAACTACAGTAATTCAGTCCATCACTGCTAATAACTTGTGAGAGAGTTAATTTATACTAATGCGGTTTATTCTCCCCCCTTCAAATAACCTACATATAGATCCTGCGATTCAAGAATACTGCTCCAAGGAGATAGGAAACCTTAAAACACAACTTGAAGAACAGCATACTCAAGAACTGGAACACCTCCGGTCCTATTTCCAACAGCAGCTGAAAGAAAGTGAAGAGAGGTACACGACAGAGATTGTCTATCTGCAGGATAAGCTTCAGAATGCTGGGGTATCCTCTGACCACACGAGGTATTAATTGGTTCTTTAGTGCTTATAACTTTGAGCTTCGTACAAAAATAAGTGTTTCAAATAACCATTGGTGTAAAACTACATTTTACTTCAAAATTTGAGAAATTCTTTATAAACTTATTACTCTTATGTTGTTTTGTTCCTTCACAAGTTAAGAGTGTTAGGAAGAAATTACATAAACATTGCAAACTAAGTAGTGCAACATTTAGAATTTATTACACTTTTATAGTTAATAGAGGAATATTTGATAATTGGAATAATGCATTAATATAATTTCATACATACGAGCTTTTTAGCAGTAATATCAAAGCTTCCAACTCAGCAGACCACTTTCAACTCTCAAAACTTCAGGCAATGTGCTTTACACGTAAAGACGCCTCGTGTAGCATAGTTGCATGAAATTGATGATTTTCTAGAATGATATGTAGCTATAAAGTTTGTGGCAGAGTTGAGGTCCACTTAACACATTCTGACTTTCACCAAGTCATGGGCCATGGGACATACTTGTCAGCCTCCTCCTGGTCCTGACCATTGTGGCCATTCAAACCTGAAAGAGGTGCAAGTGTCCTGCGAGGGATCCTGACAGCTGTGGAGCCTCCTGTTCCCCAATTCTTTCACTGTCTCCTTACATGTGTTCAAGGAGTGGTGGGTGCTTTTGATTGTGCTCCATTCAGTGTCATCTCTGGTTTCCTGTTCTTCCATTTTTGATCCTCGTATTCCTTCCTTTTGTTTCATTTAGTATCCTACAAATCCACTCAGTTTCTCTGCGTTTTTCTTTCATCTGACTCTCTCTTCTGTGAGAGAGAACTACAAGGATTTATTAGCCAGACCAGTGCTCAACTGTAAAGGGGAATTGGGAAGAGACAGCACCGATAGGAAATGCTACTAAAAAGGGGGGAAAACTCTCTAGATGTTTCTAGAAATTGTTAAATATTTTATATACTTACCACAGTACTCTCTTAAAAAGAAAAAGGACTATGGTAGGATAAATCCTTAGAAGCTGAGAGAAATGAAGATAAAAGTGTTTTCCTTCAACCATGACCCATTAGAACCCAAACAGCTGTTTTTCTCTTATTGTTTGATCGTAGCAAAATAACCAATTTTTTTCCTTGTATGAATTAATATTTGTATGTACTTGTTTTGAGAAGAATAAGAGGTCCAAGTTCTGCAAATGTTTATGGAACTGTAAGACTTATACTTAAATCATTGTTTTCCACTAACTGCCTTGTAGAATCGGTACACATTTATTAGCCTGAGCTCAGTTTTAAGGGACTTCTTAATCAATTACTTTTTAAGCCTTTAAAAAAAATAATCAAGTTATGAGCATTTTCAAAACGCATTTTGTGAAACTGTATGCTGCTGTATGTGTGTTGGCCAGGACAGTTTAGAAACCATATATGAATATTTATAAATTATTTTAAAATGGGTAGTTAGTGTTCTGATTTAGTCCATGATAACTATTCACCTGAAATACTCAAAACTCATTTTACTTATGTTTAATGAGCATTTAGAGCGATTATCAGTATTTATAAGCTAACAGGGTAGAGAAAAAACTTCCCATGAAGATTTGCTTTCTCTTAGCTTTCATACCTGAAGTTCAGGTTTTAAACATTAAAATGAAACTGGAGTTTTACAGGAAAAGTTCCTAGATGAGTACACAAATTGGTTTCTAACAACCTAGTATGGAGTTCTGTCTCATTACATCTCAAGCCTGAAGATGAGTGACTTTTAATGGTTTAGTCCGTAACCTGTTGAATGATCTATTACATGCTCAGTCTCCACACCTGGTTAGTTGGGAAAAGGTGTGTTCTGAGGAAAATATTTTCAGTGATTGGTCTCTAAATACATATAATGTATATGTGTATTCATATAATGCATATTTGAATAGAAGAAAAATAAGGTATATTGAAATACTGATTTTTTTTTTATTTCCCCCCTCTGCTTCTTTTATCTTTTTAGTGTAGCTACAGATGCACAAATAAAGCTAAAAGAAGTCTTCAGGGAAGTGAAGTGCACTGACAGTCTTCATCAGCAAAGAACAGATGAAGCAGTGGAGGTATCATACAACTGAGTTGACAGCTAATGTACATATGGTCAATAAAATTTAGGTGCTTTGGGTTCTAAGATGAAATATGGACATAGTATTTGGTAATAGTAAAGTAATTACTATGTTAGTACTATGCTATTCTATTAGATGATCCATGTTAGAGGAAAAAGGTTTAAATTTTGCTGAAAAACATTTCTGGAAATTGTGAGCAATAAAGCTTGCTTTATTGGTCCTGGGTTTTAATTTTTTTTTCCACTTTGAAACAAGACATTTGGTTTAGGCTACTACTTATTAAAGTGGAAAAAAAAAGTGTTCAAATTCTGGGATTTCCTCAGTCTTTAAAATATTGTGACTTCTCTTTAAACACTAGTTATGGAACAAGAGTGATTTAAGTGAAATCTCCGTACTTTTTAAATATAGACTACACAGTTTTTAGAAGAAATTTTGAAAAAGTAATCCCAAAGATCTTAGAAATCAAATGGAAATGGAAAAGACTCCATACATTCCTCCCCTAGTACTTCTGGAAACCTGGCTCAACAATTCTGCATTCTGCAAAACAGTGATGCTCTTTTGTACTGTGATCCTGTGCTTTCTTGCCTGTTTTCTGTGCATCTGACAAATCAAATGATGCTGGAAGAACAGTTGTTGCAAACTCAACTTCTAAAATTAGTTCTGAAGCGGAAACAAGGCAAAGTCCTTTACCCAGTTCTTTTATGTTGTGGTACAAAATTATGGGATTTGCATGAAATTAAGATAACCTAACTGAGGAAAAAAATCTCTGTCAGATTGAAACTTTTAAAATTAATGAAATAAAAGACATGATCTGAGATTTCATGGTTTTCTTACAGCTTGCTAGTGAAATTGAAATGCAGAATGATCTGGATGTTCAATTGCTAGAAAAGCAGTATCAAGAAAGATTAGAAGAAGAAATAGCAAAGGTATGTTTTTTATTTTGTTACTTTAAAATATGTTTAAAAAATACTGTCACTTTCATTTGCCAATTCTGACAATTTAGACAGTTGCAATAGCATATGCTAACTTGTGTTTGATTGATTTCCAAGGAATCGTTTCATTCTGATTCTGAAAGGGGAAAGTCTTAAAAAACTTCTGAAACATTTGGGGTTTTTTTTAGTTGTATCTCCTATTCCTAACTCATAATATCTGTTCATGTGCGGGGTGGGGGTGGTGTTTTGCTTTAATACTTCCAAGAAAACATGCAACCATACTTGACACCAGAATTTGTTTATAAAATCTGGAAGCTTAGAGAGTGGATTTCTTGCTACTTTAGGCTTAACAGCTGCTCAGTTCAAAAGATTTTGCACTTAACAGTTTTACACTATTTTCTGATCATATTTTATTGTACATTTTAATATATTGTATAAAATGCATAGTTTTTATTCAGATCTGGTGACCTTCTCTAAAACATGAGAAGCAAAACGAACATTTTATGGGTAGAGTATATTTATTCAATTGTTTGTGGATTTACTTAATTTTGACTTCCAAAAATGTTTCACTTCTTTGCAGAATGAAAAATTATCTCTCCTTTCATTATATCATGACATACATAAAAATGAAATTAACATAAATTAAAAAGCGGGGGGGGAATAAAGGAATACTTCTTAAAAAGATTTTCAGTGAGATCTAGGAAGAATGTTATAGCCAGCACTAGATGATGATATTCATTTACATAATCCACATTTATGAAGTAGAAGTTCCATTTCTCTCATCTGCTGCCAAGAAAACCCTTCTTTATGGCAAAGAAAAATACATGATTGGCCAGCATTTTGTTAGGGCTGTTTAAGTTCAAAAGACACACTCACATTTTCTGGAAGGGAAGAGTTAGGTGTTTTCTTTTCAAGTGTAACACTTCTGTATTTATTATACTATTTTTTCCACACTTTTTGTAGCTTATGCTATAAATGGCTGTATTCTAAATCTAGAAAAGAACTGCTCACATGATTGGAAAAGGGGTTTATTTGTGTTAGAAGGGGATACTTAGCAAGACAAAAGTTACCAGCCTGTTGTAACTGAAACTGCAGCTGTTTAATGCCAGTGGAAGTTTCCTTTTGGTCAAGTAAAATTCCTGTGCTGAGTATCAAGCACATGGTGCTGCTGTCTTTACACAGCCCAAAATTCCATGTCTTTGAAATGTTTACAAAGGGTGCTTGGTTAGACACAGGAAGCTTAGCACAGCTGCACTTATGTCAATATGCCAGGACTTTTTAAAGTCATCTTATAGAATCTTTTTTAAAAAGCACTAGATAATTCTGTGCTAAATAATATATTTTAATTGAAAATACCATCATAGTTTATTAAACTACCTTAAATACAGCATGTCTGTATTTTAAGAGGTGACCGTTGACGAGATTGACAAAATTATGTTCTTTTATCATTCTGTTTTCTTCTGTAAAAATAATAAAATAAAATCATAGTTCAGAACTTCTAGTACTTTTATTTATATTACTGATGATCAGCAATGAGATTTCTTCAGCAACAGGAGATGCTTTGAAGCATAAACTGATAAAGATTTTTTTCTTACTTATTCAGGTAATAGTGTCAATGAGCGTAGCATTTGCCAAACAGACTGAATTGTCAAGAATTGCTAGGCAGAAGGAAGAAGAAGCACAAACACAGATTGTACATCAACAGGGAATGCATTTTGAAATTAAAAAGCAATGTGGTGAAGAAGAGGTTGACGGCCCTCTTAGAAAAGCAACAGAAAAAGGCACTAAGCATGAAGAAGAATTGAAATCACTTTGCAAGGAACTCGCTGAAGAGTCTGGTGAGATCAACTCACTTGGAGAACAGCTTCATTCTAATAGCAAGCCTGATTGCGTACTAGGAGAGACCACACATGAATCAGTGATTTCTGAAGAACTTTTTTCACATGTTAAAGGGCTTACAGCAGAAGAAACACTGGTAAGCATAAAAAAAATTGGCAGTGTGTAACACCATATCTGAATAGTCTTTCCAATGGATTTACAGTTCATTTCAATGAGAAAACTGCAAACAAAGAAATGAAGATGAAAATTCCATTTAAATATTTGCCTTTCCCTTTCAAAGGCTGACAATCTCAGACCTAAATTATCTACCCTTATTTCCTGGGTTCTACCTGACTATCATAGCACTATGCTATGCTGCAAGGAAAGGAATATGACACTGATTACATGAAAATAAATTATTCTATTTCATGGATACAACTGTATTGCAGGCAATAAATTGTGTAAAGACTTTTTCTAAGCTAGATTGTATTCTAATGTTTTTACAAGGAACTCATTAAAAATAGTGTTTAAAGACTTTGAGTTCCTTGTGATAAAGGATATCAGCTGAATACAAAAATTATAAAAGTAATACGTGAAATATGTATTTAGCATCTCACAAACATTTGATAGGGGGCTCAAATGTGGAGTAAATATGAAAAAAAGCTGTGATGAATTTTTGACTCCACAATTTCATCCTAAGTTTAAATTTTTTTATTAAGTGTGGCACTAGTTGAAGCAAAAATTACACTTTCAAATTTGTGTAATAGTTAAATATTCTGATCTTGTATTAATTTGATAGCACATAAACTGTAGTATTCCTGGGTTTTATTATACTGTTCTCAAACTTCTCTTGTTGTACATGCATGCACTGAAATGCATGTACGTCTGCCACTGCATTTTCTCTTGAGATCCCCAACAGCTAAAAACCAAAATAGTTAACACTGTTTACTGTTGTTTTAAAAAAACTTGTCTTTTAAATGGAGAATATTTCTAAGTCTGGACCTTTCAAGAAGCACGCAAGAAGATAATGCTTTTGTGATAGCTACTTTAATTTGTGAAAGTATTTTCTAAAATTTATTTAAATATTTACTAGAAACTGTCATTGAACATAAAGTGCTAAAATAGTTCCAATATTTCAGTGCTACAGTGAGATGACGGCATCAGACACAGAAACATCAAGTCAGCTGTTGTTATACGAGGAACGTTTGGAAGATATGCGACAGGAGCTAGTACGGCAATATCAGGAACATCAGCAGGCAACAGAATTATTGAGACAAGGGCACATGCAGCAAATGGAACGTCAAAAAGAAAATCAAGAGCAACTCTTAGCAGAGCTTGAGAGTCTTAAAGTGCAATTAGCTGAGGTAATATGGGGTTTGACTCAATGAGTTAACATGGGTTAACAAAGGGACATCACCAGGCAGATTTGTGTTTATTTATATTGGTATCTCTCTGTATATTGAGATACACACATATTTGCTATATGCATGCACAGAAACACACACATATCTATTTGTGTGTGCATATATACAAACACAGATATGCATATATGTATAAAAGGCATATGTCTTTAATCAGAGCTCAGTCAGTAATGGATCAGTTTAGACTTCTGTAAACATAGAGAAAGCCTGCAGTGCTGCACAGCAGCCAGAAGAGTGAGTGAGTGAGTGCAGGCTAGCATCTATTTACATCAATGAAGCCACCAGCTGTGGCTAGAAATACTACAGAATTCTTCATTTTTCCTCATCCCTGCTTGAGGTCTGAACTTGAACAGTATCGGTGGCTTCCTGCAAAAACATGTTTTGGCTTTTTTTTTTTTTTTTTCTTTTTTCCCCAATTATGGGAGATTAAGTCCTTACTGACTGTTGGGATGAAACAAAATCTGTGGGGTTTGGTGGGAAACACCACTGCTTCTTTGGCTTTTTAGACTTAACTTCCTGTCACTCTGCATCTGTTCAAAGCCTATAGGAGATATACTAATGAAACTCTTCAATTTATCTTGATAATTAAGTCTTAAAAAATAATGTAATTTCTAGACTTGTCTTCAAAGATCCCTTCCCTTGAAAGACAAAGTAAACAGAATCCAGAATTTGTCTTGCTCTGATTTAATTTCAACGATGTAACATTACAGAAATGCACATGGAAGTAGTAATCAGTGAATTCTAAAATTCTGTGATTTCACTGTGGATTGGAGCTTTAGAATCCTTCAGACCTTATCCAGACCTGGTATGTTTAAGTTTGTGCTCAAGGAGCTGGGGAATCTAGAGAGCCGGTCTGGTATCCCCAAGTGTCTTTTCCAGCAGTATCAAGTGTCTATTTGTCCTAGCTCTTTTGTACATTTATCCTGATAATCTTTCCTTTCAATATATACATCCTTTCTCCTTTTACCTCTGTCAATTTGCAGAGGTTGCAAATTCCTGAAACTGGTGAAAAACATTAAGTAGAACTTACGCTGTTGGCTTTTCTCCAGTTTTTAATGCCAAAGATGGTTTATCCATAAGAATTGCATAGGAATGTATGCATTTAAGCCATGAACACTTCTAGGTCTTCTAAAAGAGAGTGTGTGTAGGCTTTTTATAAAAAGAACTTACTTTCATCTTTTTTCTAGTGGAAAGCATGTCCTATATCATGTAATATTAGAAATTAGCCTTCCAGTTTGCATTGTGACCGCTGTGTTTCATAAAGAGCATACAAATTGCATGAAAATCTTGAAGATGGTGTAAGATACCAAAAGTACGTATTAGCTGTATTCTATTCTAGAAAGCTTTCAGTGTCTTTGTAACTGTTTAAAGAAATGGACTGAAATTTCATTGTGCAAAATATGTAAAAAAAATCTGAAGTGACAGGACTCGCTGACACTCAGAAGCTTAAAAAATTGAATGTGCCTCTATAACACTTCTTAGCGTGTCTCAATGGAGAATGACAGCCTGGTTGCAGAGAGAGAGAGAATGCTTTTAGAAGAACTGGAATCATTAAAACAACATTCTGTACCCGGAAAAGAGAGGCTGTTTTGTGAGCTACAAAACAACAGCACACAAACGGAGGTAAATATGGACTTTGACTTTCTTGACAGCTGTGGCATGTAAAACCAGTAAGATTCCTTTTCATTGCTACTCTTTTTATATAATGTATTTTCCTAAAAGATGTTGGTTATTGCTTGAACAGAGCAGGTTTAATAATCAAGAGGTGATACTGGTAGACATAGTTTTTTACTTCAGGTAAGCAGAAGCTAGTTTAACAGCTTGAAGGTGGGGATTATTACTATAGCTATTTGCTGAGGTAAACTCACATTTTCATCTTGCTATAGCAACGCCCAACAGAAAGTACAAGGACTGTTTAATCAGCATAACAAAGTTCTTTCTAATACGCCCTGCTTTGGTTTTCCTGTTTTAATTTTATTTATGTTCTAGTTAATTTTTCCACGTAGGAAGAGTATTTTTTTATTTGTAATTTGGTACAGAAACTTTATTAACAAAACACAACTAATTTAGGTTTTAATTCTCATGTTTTACTGTGTATAAGAATATGTTGATTCTGGCATGACAGGATTTCTGTCTTTTTTGTCTTCTCTCCCTCTGCAAAAACTTACTCAGAATGAAGATGAAAACCAAAATGATGTGAGAGCACAGATCTTTGAGGATGAGGATGGAGGAAGAAAGCCTGATGAAACATCTTCAGATCTTCTTTCTAAAGAAAGGTGCTTAGAACTGTTAAGAAAACATAATTTTTTAAAAAATGTTGAGAATCATGTTCTTCTTGTTAAATTAATAATATTTATAAGCTTTATTCTGACTGATAATGGCATTTTTTATTCTAGATACCCATATTTCTAAGTTTACATACTTCAGATTAAAGAATGTTTTATTTTTTATAAAGCCTAACAATGTAATGGCATAGAGGATGAGACAAATCTTAGCCTATTTATATCTTTCATATTAGACACATGTAGAATCATATACATCATTTATACATATGTATATTTGTATACCCATTGTATATACATATAAGAAATGAGTTTCTATATATTTTTTGTAAATTATATGAATATGATTGTTGTGTTTGATAATACCTTTTGACTATTCAGTAACTTTTTTGATCTGTGTAGGTGAACAATCTTTTTGATTGTCACTTTGAGAAAAGAGTAAGTTTATAATGAACCCCAGGCAAATATAGACCTGTTTTAAAAGAATAACTGGGTAAAATACCAAGACAAAAGTACAAGTATTGACAAATAGTTAGAATTTTTACATATTTTGTAAAAAGAACTGACTTTTAACACAAACGTGCTTTTAATATTTCTGTATATGATGTGGGGTTTAGTCTTAAAAAAGAAATCTTAATTTTACTGTTCAACTGCAAATCTTTCCTGGTTGCAAGGGTGTATAAGGGATAAAAACCACTTTGAAGGTGGGGCAAAATTAAAGGACTGATTAGTTTCTGTCCTGCAGGCATGTTTTTCAGAAGGCTAATGAGAAACTCCTGAAGATTCTTTTAGAAGTTGTGAAGACAACTGTGGCCATGGAGGAGACAATTGGTCACCATGTTCTCGGGTTACTGGATCGGTCTGGGAAAGTCCAGCCTTCCAAACCAGCTGGATGGGACACAGAGACAGAGGAGTCAGTAAAACCCTGTATCCTTGTGGGATATGAAAAAGGTACTGCTCGTATGGTTTTCTGTTTCATAGAAAGTTACTTCTGCATACTTTCATGGTATATTTAAATAACCTTAGTTTTGAAATTTTAATTAAAAATAAACTTTTTTTAAAAAAACTATTTGTCATTTTAATGCATGTGACATCACTGCTTAAGAGACAGCATTTTAGGAGTTGTCTGAGTCTGCTCCAAAGCAGTTATGACGTATATCTAGGGTCGTGTTGTAAAGCCTACAAGAGAATGGGAAAGTGATTGAGAAATACAAAAATAAGTATGTTCCTGTTGAAGAAGGTGAAGAGAAAGAGAATGAAAGATAGCTCCATGGTATCTTGCATCAACTTTACACCTTCCTCTGTACGTATGGGGAATGGTAAGTGATGTCAAAGGCCTTATCTCTACTATATCTCTACTAGTACACAATGTATGTAGGGACATTACTGGTCGCTGTGGCTAGCTGGCATGGGAAAGCCTGTATATATGCTCATGGACTTCCTTAGCCTCCTAAAGAAGGCAGTTGCATGCAAACAGCCTTTTGGAAACAGTTCCAGGAACTTCTAACTGCCAAGCCTTGCCCATCAGCTGTTTGGAGGAGTACTAGTTGACACAAGCCTAAAGGAGCATTCTGATGTTGTAGTTAATTGTTTACCAGTGTCTTAAGAACTCTTCCAGTCTCTGTTTAATTTCCCGTGATTGTACTAGGATAGTGTCTGTTCGTTTTTCTTTTGGGCAAGAATAGGCACTCTATTGTATTTCCATTTAGGTACCCATGGTACAGAAGCCAGCATAGGGATGTGTACGTTCATCCTGGGTCTTATGGGGAGGCAATGTGCAACAGATCAGTTCAGCCTAAACCAATTATACACCTAGTTTTGGCTGGAGTTTTAACTACTGTGAATGAGAAAAAGAACTGGAAGTCAAAACTACATTTCATTATTAAGGAAGAATCTACTACAGAGTAATAATACAAATGGTAAATGAAGAACTTTACCTCTTTCATTCAAAATGTAGGCTGTTAGATATTATTTATTCCCTCTGACTTTAAATGTAGGTCACATTAAGCCTTGGGGCAAGTTAGGAAAGGTTGTATGACTTGCAGCACAGTGACATTGCTCTCAATTGATTGCTCAAAAGGTTATCTGTGGTGAAATGTGTAGAGCTGCAATCTAAGGATTCTTGAATTTTTCAAGTCAAAAGTATTTGATGCCTGTATAGTACTGCTATTTCATTAAAAATAGCACAACTTTTGTTTTCTGCACATTTCACTGTATTTAATTGTGAGGAAAATTATTTTTTGAAAACTCAGACTTTTGAGGCTTTGCCTTTTTTCCTCAAATTTTAGATTGGATAACTAAACTTCTGGCCTTAGTTTTTGAGACTTGCCCAGGAAACCTTAAAGATTGAGAACATCTGCTACTATAATTGAAGAAATAACTTCTTTCAAATGGAGTATTCTTGCACTTTACTTTGGGGTGGGAAATGAATAGAGTTTGCTTATGTTAAAGCAGTTCAGAGTAAGTATCTTCAACCACTGGCCACTATTTTCCACGCAGTCTCCTAGGCAAATGGTAAAAGGAGCAATGACCAGACTGAAAGTTTACCACCACGTCCTTTAGTATTCTGAGGTAGGCTTAAATTTTATGTAAACTGCATTTTAAATAAGTTTTCTATATTAAAACCAGCAGTTTATAAGCATTCTTTATATTCTTTGTCTTCTCATTGTATAGTCTGAGGTGTGTAAAAAGCATTGGGATTTTCACAACATACATTGCCTGAAGAAATAAAAACATGTTTTGGTTATGAAGGCAGTGATCACAGGCTGTTACTGTTATGTGTACTGTGATGTTACCCAATGCATTCACTGAACCTAGTTCATAGTTATATCATGCCTATCCACCGAACACGTACTGTTGCTTTTCTCCCTCATTCTCATTTACTGAGAATCTTGCTGCCTTTTCTCAGGCAATAAACACATAACTGTATGTACAAAGCGCTAATACAAGATTGTTGCCCTTTGCTACTCTCATACGTGCTTGCTCTGCACAGGCACATACAATGCACAATACATGCATTTGCTTTTTGCCTGCTCCTGCACAGCAGTGTGTGTGCACTTGTATTTGTCACTAATTGTTGTCATTAACAATTCCTAATATGGGTTACTTGCATTAGATATAGATAGAAAAAAACAGTTAAAAGAGTAGCTTTATTTGGTATTATGGGGTGGGTATAATATAGACTCATGCCTAGCTTTCAGAATACTACTGACTAAATGTACAACAGGCCCTGCAACTGGAATGCTTTGTTACTTTCTTCTGAAGCCCTCTGGTGAAAGAGTACTCTCTCTTAAATAGAAGAGAACTGTATTCTCTTCAGCTAGTGGTGAAGGTTGACTGTTTCAACTCTTGTTTGCTGTTAGTGTATTTTGAAGAAGCATGTAAGGACTCACTCTTCCGTAACAGCGATTTATCTGTTACTGTAATGCCCCCTTTGGTATAGAGCTGTTCATGTATTGGTTGTTTATTCCAGTATTCTTTTTTGCATACTTCCTTACATTCAGAAATAATTATGAAAGGAGGAGAAACCAAAAAAAAAAGAGTGAGGATTAAAGAAGAGCCAAGCTTACAGAGGCTATAATAGGTGAATGTTTAGTTTGTAATGTATCTCTGAGGTTGTATGCACAGTTCTCTTTTTTTTTTTTTTTTTTTTTTTTTTTTTTTTTTTTTTTTTCCCTTTCAAAATGATTGAACAGCATCCTTGCTGTGTACATAGTTTTGCCACTGGGGTCAGACAGCCATGGTACATCATCAGCTGAAGTATTTGATCCTTCTTCAAATGGAATTAGATGACAAATTCTATTCAAATTAGTGTTTTTGGCAACTGGACTGTTGTTGTTAATTTCCTATAATTCCACTGAATGGACTGAGAGGGCATAAGCTTTTATTTTTTCCCCCATTGTTTTCTGGAAATAATAAATAAAGTGAAGCCTCTCTTGCGTTCTGAACATAATGCTATCATATTTTCTAATACCGAGCCAAAAACAGATCTTCCTTTTTAATTACTTAGGAAATTTGTAGCAATAAATCTGTACCAATAAAAATCTAATAATAAAATAGAAAAAATAATGTGTTTAATAAAGTGAAGCCTCTCTTGCGTTCTGAACATAATCCATATTTATTGACAAGCAAAACGCAGCTTACTGGTTTTGCTGAGTGTCAGCATTTTAAGAAGCCAAATCATTAAGGTCACATACTTATAACACTGTCTGATTTATAGAGCATATAGAGGTTTATCTGGGACTTTGCCTAGGTTTTTATTTCTAGCAGAGCAAGTAAAGTTCAAATTTCAGTCATAAAACATACCATTGGAAGTGAATGGCATTTGTGCAAAGTAATCTGGTGAGTTAATTACATCTGGAGATCTGGGCCAGGAATCATCGTGGCAGAGCCAGCAGGCTTTGCTTTTTTTCTCCCTCAGACGTTGTGCCTTGGGGAGAGGGACTGCAGTAATGCAGGTTGCTCTGCAGAAGCCTGTGCACTTATGGCATTCCTTGAACGTTAAACCCTCTTACCCACTTTCTGAGGTCCTTGTTTCCAAACAGCGTACCAGGAACAAGGTAGTAAATAGCTTTATACACTGAACTGCCATAAACCCCCCCCCTTTTTTTTTTTTTTTTTTTTCCCCCCAACTTGTAACCCCTAACCTTAATTTCTCAGTGGAATCCCAGGAGTAAACTGAGATACTAGCTCTACATGATGCAAAATATGGATTGCTTCATATATGTCAGTTGGCAGCTCATAAACAACTTCTGTATGTGCAACTGAGTAAGCACTGTATATAATTAAGCACTTTTCTTAAGATTTAGTGGGCCATGACATCTGACGTGCTAAACTGCAAACTTCATGGCAAGGAAACAATATGAACCTTTGTTGGGTTTTTTGGGGGTTACAAGGAGAGAGTTTACACAAGGAGAAAACATTTTTACTTGAGCCAGTTACATTCTATTTATTATTTTGTGTCAACTGAAAAAAAATGGGGGACAGAGAATTTTATTTTAGTTCTGTTGGGGTGGGAGACTGAACAGTATTATAAGGATTAGTAAAATGGGGGTTAGGCATTCAACTGTCATGGGCAATTAATACTAGACAACATTTCTATTTCTCGCTTCCGCCACTGAAAATCTACTGGGAAGAGGCTGTACTAAGATGCTGCGTACTAAGACCATTTTCAGGGTAAAAAGATACAGATTTTCACGTTGCAGTTGGGAAGACGTTTAACGTGAACTCCTGTTCTTAATTGCCACTTTGCAGAAATTATAATGTGGGCACCTACATTTATCATTTACCATTGATTTTGCTATTGGAATTGCCACCCCTACAGTATAAACAGAATTATTAGAGATTTTGTGTACATTTGATACTTTTTGTTCTTCCTTTTTTATCTTTGAGAGTAGTAAAGTTTCCACGTGCCAAATTATACTTTAGGTGACAGTGCTCTTTTTCTTTCCTCATTTTTTGTAATTCTGTTTCAGATAAATTATTATGTTTTGTTCTGGGTTTCTTCATGTAGCAAAATTATGTTTTAACATTCATTTATTTTGTATTTATATGGAAGAAATTTACAGAAATCCAGAAGCAAATTACAAAAAAACCTGACATAAGTAAAACAAGAGTTTAAAATATTGTCATTAGTTCTTGGAGGCCAAACTGCACTGTTCTGGTCACTGGCAAGAAGAAGTGATGCTATTAATGTAAGAGACAGATTTGGGACCTGGCTTTTGAAAAATTGTATTCTGAGCAGCCATCAGTATTTTAAAGTTTTTCTGTAAAAGTTTCTGGACAACCAGAAGTTCAGATGATTTTGCAAGAGACTGCACATTTCTGCGGTTATTTTGTATAATGTTTATTTTTGTATTTGACATACACTATCATTGCACAATTCAGCTGTACGTCTCAAACAAATAATTTACTAAAATAGAAGCGTTATAGGACATGAATTACGGGTTAAACCTGAGAAGGAAGAGAGGAACATTACGTAGATATACTCCATCAAATAAGAATTAGGTTGTGCAGTAACTAATATGTCGTTGTTTTATCTTGTTTATAGCTGTGCTACTGTACTGTGGGCTTTTATTTTGTGAGATCCTGAAGCTAAGCAGGGTCTTACCTGGTCAGTACTTAAGATGGGTGGCCTCCAAAGAGCATCAGGTTCTGCAGTAAGTGTGTCGGTGGCTCAGTAGGGAACGTGTTTTCCTTCAACTCAGTCTTTAACCAATACTTTGGCACAGCATTTGGAAATACCTATGCTGCTGGATGTCCATCTTAAATGAAGGTCCTTTCTACTCTGAGGATATTAAAGCTTCTGCATCACTGTTGATATTTTGAGACACCCAGAGCCAACCCAAATTTGGGTGGTGAGAAATCAGAATGCTATTGAATAAAAAAATGTGCAATTTTTCATTCTGCAGTCTTCCTTACACTGCAGGGGGGTGGAATATTAGGATGTTATGAGAAAGTGTTTATGGTATACAAACCCATTGCAAATATTTCGTGTGCTGGCAGAAAATGCCTGCCAGCCACTGCTAGGGTAACTCCACTGCAGTGGTTTGTGACTGAAGTTCCAAAGTGCAGTACTCAAAAGGGCTTTGAAATCCTGTGTAGATGAAAGGTGCCAAGTGAATGTATATTCTATTCATCTGGTTATTTGTTCCATTCATGCATATAGTGTGCTTCTGTTTTTTCCCTTTGGAGTGTGAAAAGAGCTTGTAACATTATATCCCACACATCTAAAAGGAGATATCAAACAGTAATGATAGAACTAGAAAAAAAATGCTAAATGCATCTGCATTTAAAAAATCTTAGCAATTATAAGATAAAAGTAAACAAACCCCAACCTTTCTAGATTAAAATTGCTGTAGATTAGTTTGTTGTATATGGGTCATATATACAGCTGCATCCATAATGAAATAAAGGTGTAGATATTATTATCAGAATGTTTGCAGGTATAAAAGTATAGTAAGTAAACCAAGTAGTTAGTCATGTTCCAAGTAATTAATCATGTTGCAGCTTGTTAAAAAAAAAAAAAACAAAAAAACAAACCAAACCTGAAAACTAGAATCTGACTTTCTGGCTCAGTTCAAACAACATCAACAAGAGGACTCGTATTTCCAATGTTATTTGCGTGCCTGGTTGAGAAGCAAGAGCAAGTATAAGGAAATTTTACCCAACAAGAATACTAACTACATTTTTAGAGGCAATTTGTAGAATTGGCCTATTATAATTCCATTTCAATTTATGTAACTAAACAAACCATTCCAGTTCAGCAGTCAGAATTCATGGCATAACCAGGAACTTAAATTCAAAGATAACCCAGAACTGCAACTTTATTGCTAAACAGGCATTGACTACTCTTAATTCATTTAGTCATACTGCTGTTTCCCAAAAATAAGGTATTATTTTGAGAAAACCTTAAGCAAAACCAACATATAATTGTTAAAAAAAACCGCTGAAACGTTTTAATTTATTTTATTTGAAATATATTTGAGAAATATATTTCATTAGAATAAACTGGCATTTTAAAAACCTTTCCACAATAGCATTTATTTCTGACATTGCAAATCTAACAGCCTAATGACATAACACTTCTTCATTTTTAAAACACGATATCAACAATAGTTATCTACTACTGTATTGTTACTTCATACTGAAAGTGTGGTTTTAAAACATCTCAGGAGTTTGCTTTCACTTGTCTTGCTTAAATACAGCCCTGATTTCTAAATATGGCATATTTACTGTTTTCTAGATTAACTGCTATCAGTTTAATACCCTAGGCAAACTTTGAGCCTCCTGCTTTTCAGACAGAATGGACAATGCCCTTAAACTGAAGCAGACCTCAGGAAAACTGGGAGGTGGGCAGGTGCTAGGTGGCCCATCTGTAGGGACAGTTACAGTCCCCCTGCACTGTACCTGCTTGGTTCAGCTACCCATTTTAATCAATTTTCACCAATAATAATAATGCTGAATTTTGGCGTTCTCTATTCTAGTCCATTTGTCCTGAGAAGTTGTCTGAATTACGTGCGTGTCTTTCCCTTTACTCACTTGAGTCTGTGCTTTTGAATCACTAACTTGAACAGGTTTGTGTTAGTGCACACTAACATAGCTGGGACTGGTGAAACATGGACTGACAGGGTTGGGTTTTTTTTACCTGGTTGTATTTTGAAGACAATCTTGCAAGTCATTATTGGAAATTATTCAAAGTAGTAAGGGGTACCAATAGTAACAAAGGTTTCAAGATGAGCCTCCGAGCCCAAAGGCATACTGAAAGGACGTCTAAAATATTCTCTGTTAGTATCTCCTTTTCACTTTCCCTTCTGCTTATTTTTAGTTAATATATTGTGCATCTTGTTTGTGTAAGTTTTAGTTTGCAGTATTTCCCTTTCTGTCTTTGTGACCAATACAAATATTTTAATTGTTTTATGATTTGTCTTTCTAACCGTAACTCAGATGTACGGGTTTTCATGTTTTAAAGTGCTAAGCATCTGTGTGAAAAGGTAACTTTTTCTTCCAGAGTCCTGTTCCTCATATCGTGGTGGTAGTATGGGAGATGAAGATGTTAACATGTGGTCAGGAGCAACGGATGAAGGACTGCTGAGCCAACATCTTGCAGAAAGTGGAGTGGAAATAGATCCTGAAAATGAAGAACTCATTCTGAATATTAGTTCTCGACTACAAGCGGCTGTTGAAAAGCTTCTGGAAGCTATCAATGAAACTTCAAATCAGGTAGGGTGACCTACTAGTGAAGAATTTTAAATTTTGTGTCTCAATTTTTGTTTTCTTTATTTTTCTCATGAATGTGTTTTTATAAGCATAAAACCTGTAGGCTTATTTTTAAAGCTGAAACAGTACTTCAGTTGCCCAGGCCCCAGAAAAGTCTGCTCCAGCATGACTTTACAGATGAATTTGGATTCACGTTAGGAATCTGCTTTGGACTGCAGTGGAAGCCTGAATTGGGGCACGCTTATCAATCTAGGGCACACTTTCATTGCTTGTATGGGTCATCTGCATTCTGCTGCAATCCACGGATGAGACAGGAGGTGTCAGGGCACATTGAGCTGGCCCTCGTGAAGAGGGAGGATAAAGGGAACTGTGCCCAGCTTTCTTGACAAACATTTTAGTCAGTTGACTGGCCAAAAAGGTGGAGCTCTCCTGCTGTCTCTTCCAACTATGATTTACGCATGGCCAGTTAAGCACATACCCACCTATCAGCAAAGGAGTCTGTACTCCAGCTCTCCAGTATTTATGAGGTATTGTGAGGTATGTGATTCATGAATAACCTCCAAAAAAGAGGCAGTGTCATGGGTACTCCTTTCTGTTTGCTGTCAGGGTACTTTTCATGGTGGGTTGTTGCTCTCTGAAGTACTTCCCTCTTAATTGAAATGGGAGCTAAATACCTAGCTCAGTCAGTTCAAATCATACTGTTTATATCATATCCCTTACTTTTAGATTATGTACATCTCAATTTGAAGGTATCAAAGTAAATACTTTGTATCTCACTGTAACTTCTTTAAGCTCTCTTGAAGAACTCAGTCCTTAGAGTCAGCTCTTTAATTGATTTGAGGCTAGAATTCAAAGGATGCAGTCTGTTTTATGCTACAGACCCATCTATTAGTTAACCTAGTAATCATATTGCTTAAAAAGTTGCTGCTTTCTTGTCTCTAGGTGTAAAATGTGTAAATCATAACTACTGGAAATGAAGGAGAAAAAAATCAGTGATGATGAAAGTAATTGAAAATTCATCGATGTAATACTTTAAAAGTTTTAAACATTTAAGTATTTGTTGCTTTTGAAAAACACTTCAGAAATGAAGTTGATACTCTTCTTTTTAAAAAAAGAAAAAGGCAAAAGGCTAATTTGTGACTTAGTGAAGTTAAAAGTAATTTAAATACAAATTCAGTGAACCCCCCTCTGGCTTACTGAAGCAAGTAGTCTGGTGGGTCTTGTAAATCAGTTTCTGTTTGGTGTTTATTTGCAAACTCATTCTGCAACAGCTCTCTTCTGTTTGAGCATGAGCTCAATTAAAAAGAGCTGTTTGGCTTTTTGAGGTCTGCTTAAGGCCTAGCATTACATAATAACAAAGAAGGATACACAGATACTCCAGTCCGTGGAATATCTCCATTCATATGGAGTAAGAACTCCAAATGAAGTTCTTAAAAAAAAATATAGGTAGGTATTTGTAGGAAATCTTACATTTAAAGAGCAGATGATGCAGACAGAGAAAAACAACTTCAAAGTTTTACAGTAATTAAGAATTAAGTATTGTCAATTATTTATTCCACTTGGTACTTCTTTTTTCTGAACATTTTGCTGCTGATCTTTAAATGCAGTAGTTTTATACATAGCTCTAAGTTATTTTACTTTTGTGATTGATATTTTTGCAGTAAGTATTTACTTTTCATGATACCAATGAAAGTACTCATTGTATTTTAAGCAGTTTATTTATTGTCAACTGATCAAGAAAGTTTATTTTCCCTTCAGAGCTTTGTAGCCAAGACCTTGCCAGTACCAGCAACAGAGTTATGCTTTGGCTCAAACAGACACACACACATTTTTTTTTTCATTGATATGGATTATACAAATATGGATTTATCCCTTATGACCATATCTGGTTTCTGTTTTTAAATTTAATAAAATATTAATCTCTTTACACATTTTCCCACAGTACTGTCTAAATATTGACATTTTTCAGGCTGTTCTGTAGAGGTACTTTGCAAGCATTCAAGCATGTCTGCTTTGCAATGTCTGTTGTGTGCTCACTGTATTATATACAGTTCCTGTATGTATCAAGGGTTTGTAGGTGACTTGACAATTATTTTTAAATATTCAGAAACTGGATATTTTTTATACTCTGCAATATTTTATCATCTAAAACTACATGCAGAAAAGATTTTAACCTTTCCTCTTAATCAGTTGTGTTGTGCATACAGACATGTACCCATCTCTCAAAATAAACTTAAAAGAGTGAGAGAAACCTGGCAAAATCTTCAAAGTAACTATTTGAGACCTGTCTGAACACACACTTTCAGACTTGAAGTGCAGTTTGAATCTTTTCAGGCAAGGCATATAGTGGGTGTGTCAATTCAAATTCCACCTGCTGGTGTTCTGTATAGGTAAATAAATCAGGGCACTCCCCTGAACTCCTTTTTACTAACAGGAAGCCTTTAAACTAGCAGAGTTTGAGAAAGTTCTTCCTGTTGAATTAACTCCAAGAACAAGAATGAAGGCAAATAATGACATATCAGTATTTCTCTTTCATTTGCCATAGTGGAGATGGAAAATCATTTTTAGTTTCTGTTCTGCTGGCTTGCTTGTCTGCTGCAGCATACTCGTGCAGGTAAAACAAAATTATGCTTCCTTGCCTTGGAAATTACCTGCCAGCTGCTATTGGAAGATTTCTGTTGCTTTTTCACATGAAAAGGATTTTTAGGCGTGACCATACGAAGTTTTCTTGCACCTCTCTCTACCCTGGATTAATCCACTCATGAAGTACTCTGCTTGTACGTGTTCTGTTACAAATTCCTGTTAGAAATTTCTAAAAGCAGCCTAGCTAGAGCAGAATACCCATGTGGCAGTTGAGAAGAAAGCAACAGCGATACTTTCTGGAATGGATTCTTACCGCACCTACTGGGCATCTAACCTGTTTAGTGGTTTGTGGACTGAAGGCCAAGAAGAAGATACATACGAGGTTGAATCCCGTGTGCCTTTACCATATCCCTTTCCTCTCACTGAACAATTGGATGAGAACAATTCTGTAGTTGTAAATACTTCAATTTTTCACTTCAGCCACAAAAAAAGGGGGCACATTTTAAAAGTTGTCTCTAAAATCTCCTTGCCTACACCTCCCTATTCAGTAAGTATAAAAGTTTTTAAAAGAAACTGTATTTTAAACCAGCTTAATTAGAAGAGAATGCAGTCAAAAATGATATAAACTTGTCTCTGTTGTGAAAGTTGTTATGTATTGGTGTCGGGCTTTTAAGTTTTTAATGGCACTGCAAAAGCTTTAATAACACAATTCTCTCTGTTCATTTCTAACAAAAGTAATTTAGCAGACAGAAATTATATCGAATTAGAGAGATTTGAGATCTCTTTTTAAAGCACTTCAATGTTACTTATTACATTTTTCTCACTGTGAATAATTTATGCTGGGGAGGGAGGGCTGCAGTCAGTTTAAATTGTTCCTTTATAGCTTCCATGCACTGACTAGGAACATTAGCACAAGCTTGCTAATGGCTTCCTGTGATCCCATGAAGAAATTTTTGTTCTTGAAAAATCGTGTTCATGTTTATGCTTCTTTTTGGGTTTGCCCTGTGATGTTTTTAATAATACCTTGAGCTGTTATTACTGAAAAGAGCTAGAGAGTATTTGATGCATTTGAGTAAGCCATGTTTATCGTTGTCTATGTACAGTAAACCTATCATATGTTTCCCTGTTTTCTGAGATGGGTCTTTCATTAAGCACTTAAAAATATAAGAATAAAGCAAGAATTCTCTCCAATTTTTAAAATATCTCAAACCAGCGCAGAAATTCAGCTGCAGTATTTATACCTTTCTTAAACTCCTGTCAGAATAAATAGTTCATGTCAGTGATGTCCATGTGAAAAGGAATGCTGTAGAAAATAAATCAGATATTTAAATTCAGTATTATAAAAGAGAATGTATTGAATATTCAGACATTCTTTTCAAAGTGTAATTTTATTTATAAGCGGATAATTTTGTGTGCAATGTTCCATGCAATGTTCCATGAAATGTTCCTAACCCATTTTTCTGAGATTTTAAAGCAAGCTGATCATACTCATGAACTTAGCTGGAGATGGTGAGAAAGCTTTTATTTTTGAAGAAATTGAGAGAAAGAATGTGTTTATGGAGTCTGTAGCAAAGCCACAGATGGTACTATCTTACAAATATCTGCCAATATCCATAACATCAAAAAGAAAGGGAAAAAAAAAAAAAAGGAGGGGAGTAGGAAATAGGTGTTATTTTATTTTCTGATGTTGTTCTTATTCAAAATAAGTTGTCTTATTTTGAATACAAGCCACACAAAGAACAAACTCTGGCTCAGCTCTGACAATTTGTTTTTGTAGCCCTCAAAGAGGTGGATGTAGGCTGTAAATGTTAACAGTTGAGAAGTAGAGATCTTCTTGGAAATTGACTCCAGTTTGCTGTTATCTTAGATGAACATTTTGTGTAATCAGATCTTCTAACACTAGAGTAATGTTCGTTCTTTACCATTTTGCTTTTGTAATTCTAATTTTAATTATTTTTGAAATTGTCACTTTGGGTATGTCTAAACTGGTCAATAAGTATACAGTTTTATTTCTGTCCTGTTTTTTCAGTAATTTAGGTTAGTGATGTAGTGAGATTGCGCTGCATCTGTGGTTAAATATTAAATTTAAAAACATTAAATATTAACCCATCAGACAAGGAGAGAAGAATAAAAAAATCCTTAATAATTCTGTTAGTTGGAAGAAGCATTGCTTTACTGCCTTGTTGGTTGAAAAGTGTGATATATTAAAAATTCACATTTTCCTGGTGTTCTCATTTATCTTCATCGTAAGGAGAAAAAGAGATGAAGCACCACTTGTGTCAATTTATATCAAAACTTCTGCCAGTTTTATACTTAGAATGGCTAAAAAATGTTGCATATGGTGGGTGATAGCTTACTCATATTTAGTACAAAATGCATATGTAAATAAAGGTGAATCTAGTGTATACTCATAAACCAGGAATTACCGGAACAAAGACACGGATTTAGCCAGATGGCTCGTTGAGTTCACTGTCCTGACAAAGCCTATTTGCCTAGACTTTTGTACTGAGTCAATCTTCCTCCTGTAGTACGCAAATGTGTGTTCAGTAAAGATCTTATTGAATGTCCAGTGAAGTTATGTGAGACTTCTCATCACACTGTAAAGTAACTGTTAATTAAAGAGGAATGATAGAGTAGTTATTTACAGAAAATCTCTGGTTTATCTAACTTCTGTAATTTTTTCCTGTGGTAGCTTGAACATGCTAAAATTACTCAGACAGAACTCATGCGAGAGTCCTTCAAAAAGCAACAAGAGGCCACAGAATTTATCAAGTATCAGGAAGAACTACAAGAACGTCTTAATGAAGAAACCAAAGCCAGAGAGCAGTTGGCTTTGGAGCTTAGTAAAGCTGAAGGTGAGTAGCTTTTTGATGAGTTGTTGAATTTGCACTCGCTTACCTATTAATTGAGTAAAGAAATTGCAAATCAGATCAATTTATTTGCAAATTTAGAATGTTATCAGCCTTCTAGATATTATGGAGAAGATGACCTCCAGACATCCCTTCCAACATCAACCATTCTGTGATTCTGTTTCCCAATTTTGTCTCACTTTTTATTGTCTGACTTATTAAAAATAATAGGTTGTATATGTGTTATTATACTCATAATTAAGTTATTTCATCGTAACGTGTCTGTCTGTGCAGACAAGCTTAAATATTAACAACTTAGAATCATAAAACCATAAATAGTTGAGGCTGGAAGGCACCTCTGGAGATCATCTGTTCCAACCCCCTGCTCAGCGCAGGGTCAGGTAGAGCAGGTTGCCCAGGACCGTGTCCAGTCAACTTTTGAATGTCCACAACCTCTCTGGGCAGCGTGTTCCAGTGTTTGACCACTGTCAAAGAGGGGAAAGAAAAAAAGAAAATATTCTTTTTAAAATGTTGAAATGCAGTTTCCCATATTTCAGTTTGTGCCTGCTGCCTCTTGACCTTGACTTAGTTCCACCCAAACACGGATAAAAATGTAGAGCCTTCACTCTGAACTTGATGACATGGTGGTGATATGTTTTGGTTTGCACTGTTTGAAGTGATCTTTTTAAGGGTATCTGCAACTGCATTAAGGAAGCAATTAAAAATAGAGTGTAGGGTGTTACAACAGGGGAAATCTAATAATCTTTTCTGACATCAGGAAAATATGTCCAATTCTGACAGACACTTAATTTGTTCTTTAGAAGTAACTTTACTGTTTCGATAGCTGAACATTTTTTTTCCACCCAGCAGTTCTACCATTACCTGTTTGTAATTACCATCTGGAAAAGATGCAAAAACCACCTACTCTATAGGTAGGATCTCTGTAGTAGCAAGCAGAGAGATATTTTACTTAATTCTGAAGCTCAGCAGACTTCTCTGTTTCAGAGTGGGAGCATGGAGTAAAGTTTCATAGCCAAATGTTATTCCTGGAGAATGCTACCCTGCCAGCCTTCTTCTTTTTACACAGACAGATAAACCAATGTGAGTTCACACACTATTAATAGCTGGGACCCACATAACCTGAAAAGAAATGCAGGTTTCTAAGTCATGTGTCTAAAATGTGGTGCAAGGGACAGTTGGTAGCCTGTCAGTTCCCACAGCGTAAATGTTGCATGTCATCAGCGCCAGTACTGGCTGCAGCATTTCGATAGCTTTAGCAAAACTAGAAAGGAGGAAAATTGATTTCAGAAGGAATAGGCTCAAACCTGAAAGAGGCATTATTGCTTTTTTTAGTATTAAGAGTGGAGAAAATCTCGCATGCAACACATCTTAACGTGCAAAAAAGATGAAATCTTCCACCAAAATATGGGTGACCTAAGAATTTATATTCTTGCACAGATGGAGTTACAAAACTGTTTAGTATTGATGAATTTCAGAACATAGGCAGCTTTTATGTCTGTTGCTGCTTTTCTTGGAGGATCATATTTTTGTCTTGATAGAATTTTTATTCACAAATCTTCAATAATAAAGCAAAATTGACTAATACATTAGGACAAAGCACAGATGTTAGTGTTAAGTTTTATTTAAAGGGAGGAATCTGTCATAATGTTAGAGCTGTCTGCATAGGCATAATCTTACAAGTAGCATTTTAAAAAAAAACCTAGAGACTAATTTTATTTATTTTAAAAAAGTTTTTATTATTAACTTATCTCTGTTGCTTTGCCTTCTGGGCCTGCATTTTTTTTCACATAGTCAGGTTCTCCACTAAGAACTATGAGCTTTCCTTTTCATTTACAATAAATACATTTCCATTTGTGCAGAACTCTATTGCATAAAGTGCATGCATAATTGAATTTGAAGATGACATCCCACAGAACAAGACCTGCTTATTATCTTTTTTTTCATATTTTTATTATCATTTTTATCCTATTAGCACCAGACAAGCAAAAACTCTAAAATTAACTAGGTTCTTCTCTTGAGCAATGCATTTCTGTTATAAAATTTGCTTGTGCAAACAAACTAATAGCAGCAAAGAAACTGCAGACTCTTACTAGATGCCGGTTTGTAGATAATGGGACTGCCCATATGTAAATGAAGGCAAAATTTATCAGTAAAATTTTATTAAATGCTTGAAATATTCCATCAGAGCCTGGTTTGGAGATAAAACAGATGAGTCAAGTCTGTATTTTTTGCTAGCAAAGAAAGTATATTAAACACAAAAATCTACTGAGACCTATGAAACTATGTTTTGCGCTCTCTGGATTTTATTGGATGATGTTTTATTTGAGAAAAAAAACTTGGAAGCCTATAAAGTGGAAACAGTCTTCAAAAATTTTTACCTGGAATTTAGTTTTAATCAGAACAATAGTAATGTCAGTGTATAAGACTTGACAGACTGGCTGTGTTGATTTGGTTCATGAACAGGTCTGGAATATGAGACAGAATTTGATGTTAGTTTTAGCCCTTAATAGGTATATTGCACAGTTGAGCTTTTAAGTTAGGTGCAGATTTATGTCACACACAGAGATTTAACTCAGTTCAGTCTTTTGCAGGAATTCAGCTAATTTGTCCCTCTTACTGCTTTAATGCTTTATAACTCCTGAATTAATTAAATCTTTTTTCATCCTTTTTTTCTGTGAACTTCTGAAATTAATGCACTTCTAAATGACAAGCACCTTTTTTTTTGGTGTTGATATAACAAAAACAAAAATGCCGTAAAACTCTCTTTATCTAATTTCTTCTGCTCATTGAACTGAGTTGTGAGCAGAGCATACTCTGACAAAGCCAAACTACATTCTTTTATCAAATTCCTTAGGCAGATATGCAGAACAATGTCTTAGTTCATTATACATCTGATGGTACTCTGTCTTCTCTTGAGATAAAATGTGTCATTTTTGATCGTTTCTTTCTTATCACAAAAACTGCTGCGGCTGAGACATTTTCAAACCTCTAGTGTTTTAGTGGTGTCAGAGATGACTTATCTAATGTGATAGAAAAGCTAATGCCAATTTGTTCACTGAACTCTGACAACTTTCATTACATCTCTTAAAAAAAAAAAAAGAAAAAAGAAAAAAAAGGCAGGAGTAAATAGCGCAACACATGATCTCAGCAGACAACTTCTTCATTGTTCATACCTTTTCGGTGGGGGTGTATACTCCCTTTAACCTGGGAATGCCCTCTCAACTTCCAGTCTGTTAAGTACTCATTGTAAACAGTGTCTGATACGGTGGGGAAGAACTACTAGAAGATGTATTGTCTCAAATTTTTGAAATGCTGTTAATTATGTTTCTAGTTCAGTATTTTTTATTTCAACAGCCAGTCCTTCTATGTGGCTGTGTTCTCTGTGAATCCAGGTCTGGAAAAAAGCTTGGTCAGTAATGCATGACTGATGTGCACGAGGACCAGACCTGTGTTTCTCAGACTGTATATGTGAAGACCACCGTTAGTTAATTTCCTCTGATACAGAACTAAGTGCTCACAGAGGTTTTACTTTGTCTACATTGATAATGAATGGAAACATCTTTCATTTTCCTGTGTTCTCAAGCCAGGGTAAAATCCGTTTTAATACTGACTCAAGAGTATAGATTTATACTGATAAAGTACTTCCGTATTGAAAATAGTTTGATATTGGTAAAATAATACTTAGATTCTGTGGGTTTAGTAAGAAGAAACCTGTGAGATAGGTGTGTATGTCCAACTAAGAAAATTTAGACATCATACAACTGATGTCCTATCAATCTTTTGAAACCATCAGTATCTGACGTGACAGAACACATCTTACCATGGAAACCTGGGATAGCTGTTTAGTACCTTCTGTCACTCAGTAAAAGTATCTTTTGTGTTCTGTAGTCAGATGTTTCTGAAAGGGCTGATGTGAATCTTCCAAAGCCAATACCATTACAGGATCTCAATTTCGTTTGTACAGCCCTCAAGGAAATTCACTGTTTTTTTCCTAAGTCTTTAGCTTTGCTCTCACTTCTGCATCATTCCAAGATGGTGCCATTTCTTACAGCTGTAATATCGTTCACAAGACACATTCTCAAGGTAGTGTCCCAAATTCTCTGTTTAAAAGATCATTAATTGTTTTGTGCTACTTTAAAAACTGTGCATTAATAATCAAGAAATTAAATTGTTTATTAGATGTCAGCTGGTACAGGCCTTTTGGGAGTGATTCAGGTACTAAACATGGACACCTGCAGCCAGTTTTGGTGCCTTATGATGATGGAGGCATCTATATTATACCTGACCTACTGTGGTTTGAGGTCAGACAAAAGTCTTGAGGCACCTCAAATGGCACCTGGCACCTGAATTTATTTGAAATTTCTCATTTCTCCTATGTTTATTACACGCTTATTTTTCCTTGGCTTTGGAGCTCCTGTTTGTTCCAGAGGTCTTATGCTGGGAAGGAATTAAGAGCCAAATTTGGTCTTGTTCTATCCTTCCAGTAATTTGTTCATCATGGAAGAATTGAAAGGACAGGAGTAGAAGTTGTCTGGTGCTGAGTATCTAACATGTATTGGCCTTCATGTGAGAACTCTAGTGACTTCACCATGCAAAAAATTCAGATTGTTCTTTATTGTCATTTAAATCTACCCCAACATTGATGTTCTACAGGCCTCATTGATGGTTATGCAGATGAAAAAGCATTTCTGGAAAAACAACTCCAGGAAAAAATAAACATAATTGACCATCTTGAGCAAGAACTACTGTGTACAGGTAACAAATTGCAGGAGTTAGAGGCTGAACAGCAGCAGATCCAGGAAGAAAAGGAGTTGCTTTCCAGGCAGAAGGACGCCATGAGAGCAGATGCTGGGCCAGTAGAGCAGCGTATGTATTCCTCACAATCTTTCTATGAGATTTTCTTATACTTTAAATTAAAATAATAAGTAATCTTGGTCGAGGTTTTTTCCCCACCTTCTTCGTAATCATTAATAAAAATGTGATAGGGCAAAACGTGATATTTTCATACCTGATGCCTAATGTTAGCATGATAACTTTTCATGATATTTAAACAAAAAATTACTGAATTTTCAGAATTGTTGAGCAATCACAATTGTTCTTTAAGCCAGGAAAGCTTGATACCTCTGAAAATCTGCTTTTATTTATATTATTGCTGGAGATGGAATATCTTGAAGTGAGCACCTATGGATAAAAATACTGGTCTAGATACTTTCCAAACAGAGTTTTAGAGGGACTAGGAAGCATACTACCAGAACATGATTGAACTATACACGAGGGCTATACTTAAGGTAGACACAGAAGATAGACTTTTCTAACAAATTCCTCTTTCGGGAAAGAATGGCACAAAAGTCGCATGGTAAGGAAAGCCTGTTAATCTGCCAGTAATGAAAACTTTCAGCACTGATGGTGAAAATTCCAGATAAATACCATGTCAATGTAATCTAACTAACTGCTTACTCAAAAAAAGCATTTACCTTCATGAAGTAAATGTGTCTTTTAATTCTTCCTTAAACTAATAAATTAATATTTTATGTTTGAGAGGGGAAGAAAATTAGAACAGTGATGTTTTAAGAAGTACAGATCTTTCAAGGATTGCAGTGCTTACAGTGTAAAAAGCAGGATGAAATTACCATTTTATTTAATTTCCAAAGGTTTATGGCAATTTATAATGTTGCTATTTTTATAAATTACACATCTTTGTGTGTATTTACAGTTTCCTGTGTCTACTTCATGTGACAATGACATTTTAAGAACAACCAGTTGCTTCCTACTTTATAGTAAAGAAGATCCTTGTCTATGACTCCAGTTTAGTTATTTGTTATATGTTTTAGGTTTCTAAATATTTTATAGTTATTTTCATATGTAACAACTGCAAGGATAAACAATTCTATAAATATATGTAGATACTTATATCATGCATACCAGAATAACTTACCACATTCCCTAAGTTATCTCAACAACTTTGTCATTAAATGCCACATCTATCTTTGGCTTCATTTTCTCTTACATTGTTGCACCACAAGGAAACTATAGCTGGCATGTGAATTACTTTGCTTCTTTTTTTTGTTTTCTCTCTCTCTATTCTCCTAGGCCTAGTAGATGCTGCAGTCGATGCAGCTTCCCAAGCAGGTGTGTTTGTATGTTGCATGGCCAATCTGTAATTGGGTGGAAGACTTACACGTACTGACATTGTTAATCAGGATTATGGGCTTTTGGCTTACTGACATTACTTGTAATTCTTACTGGCCTGCAGCTTTGATGTTGTATTTCATACTCAGTTTTACATTTTGCTAACAACATTTCTTATATTTTCTAAACATAATAAGCAAATTCATTAATAACCATCATCTTATTCACCTATGAATTACAGATACTTAGATGGTATTGGAGGGATATTTTTTTCTTTTTATTTCCAAAGACAGTTGAGTCATTCATTATGATAACTAAACACTGTATTATATTGATATGTAACGGTTACCTAGACACGAGAATTGGTTAAATATGATGTAAGATGATGGTGCCTAAAGGATCTTTCTTCTATAGTGAAAGTAAATTGTATTGTTTCTGTCTAAATACCAATCATGTTTTAAAGATTCACCAAATGTAATTGCACTTTACAGTTTGGATTTTACCTCAAGGGATTCGTACGGTTAGTTAATATGTACTTCAATGGGCTGTGGCTTAAGAGTCTTAAGAGAGTGGTTTGGGGCTTTACTTTATATGCTTGCCAGCCTTTTCATGAGGACTCAAAATTGGGCATCCATGCAGTCACTGGTTTTACAAAGCTCCAGTTACAGGTCAGTAATTTCCCTCTCTGTCTGCCCAGCAGCCTCGCTAAGTCTTTCAATATTTCCTTCAAATTATGTATATGTATCACATTAAATGATGAAGACTGGGAGTGGACTGATTTTACTGACGCTGGGGATGAGAAGAGGGTTGGGTTTTCTGTACTTCATTGTTAACCCCTGTGCTGACTCTGGCTGTAGTTTATACCCATGCATTTTATTTTCTTTTTTTTTTTTTTTTTCCAATTATACAAAGACCTTTTAATTTATGTGAAGCTTAAACAAGGAAGTGGTTTGATACAGCTTCACTAACAGTCCTCTGAAGACTAACTAAAGGATAGTAATTTTAATATGAATTTGCTTTAGTGGTTATCTTGATTATTTCTCAGAAGAAAATATATTTTCTAAAAAAGAAAAACAGTAAAAACCCAAACCAGTTCACATCCTTCTGCAGAGTACAGCATGGATACCCTGGGGAGTGGTTTTGCTTCATAACATTGCTAACTATTTCTATCTAAAGTAGTGTGTGATGCTTTTATTATAACCAGAATTGCTGGAGGAAACAGAAAAGCTAATGAAAGAAAAAATTGAAGTACAGCGTCAAGCTGAAAAAGAGTATGATGATCTTCAGAAGCAAGTGAAAGTCTTGGAAATAGACTTGGAAGAACAGGTCAATCGTTTCATAGAGCTAGAGCAAGAAAAAAATGCAGAACTAATGGACTTAAGGCAGCAAAACCAGGCTTTGGAGAAGCAACTTGAGAAAACAAGAAAATTTCTAGATGTAAGTATGGTAAAAGGCTAGTTTCATGAAGGTGGGTGGGCACCTCAACTGAAGTTTGGTACAGCAGGAAATGCTGTTTTTTTCAGCTTTTGAGCAAATACAAAGAAGCATATGATAGTAACAGTGTTAAAGGTTCCAGTCCAAGAATTGAATTTATGTTTTAAAAGTTGAAAATCTGTTTGAGATGCTTGCTCTGCCCTGTATTTATAAGTATAATTTAGTAGGCCTCTTAAATGTTTAAAATAATGGGCAACTCTAAAATTAATGAGGAAATAGATACTTCTGTGACCTTAATTTTTAACAGTTTTTGGAATTGTCATGTTTTTCAGTAGTCTGTTGGAATTAAGTAGTCAGCTTTATTTGTACTTGGAAATTGTGTGTCATAATAGGATAAGGTTCAGAAGTAAAAATTCCTACTACAAGTCCCATAGTCATAAATGCATTATGGTTTGGGATTATTAGTTAGGGACATGGTTCAGTGGTGGAATGGCAGGGTTAGGTTAACGGTTGGACTTGATGATCTTGAAGGTCTTTTCCAACCTAAACGATTCTACGATTCTACAATTATCAGTGGCATGAACTGGAGTTACAGACTGCTGAGATGAATAGTGGTTTGTAATAGCAGCATTACAATTCTGCTGTTTCCTTGAAACTGCAGGTGAGTTTTTAAAATCTGCAACTTGCAAAGGTTGAGGCTTTATTCCAGTTTCCTGAATTTTTGCAGAAGCATTCCTCTTTGTATCAGATAATTCAGCTAGTTTATTTTAATGCATCTGATAAAGTTTGTCTACAAAGTGGCATTTAGAGGTGATGCTTCACTGGGTGCTACCAGCTGCACATTACTTCCTGTTTAAATATGTATTTCCCAAATGTCAGACTGGGACATAACAACTGAAACTGGTCAAAAGTAAAACTGAAATACAAAATTCAAACAGTTTTAGTTTGTTGTTGGCTCCTCATCAATATTAACAGAGAGTTAATTTCTATTCTTAATTTTATTTATGCTACACATATCAAAGACAAACAATAGCGAAGAAAATAATAAAATATTGGCTTATTACCATTTGTGTGGTGTACCTGGAACAGAAGAAACAAAACTGTCCTTTTTGTGAAATAATACTGGATGTATCTATGCTGTCCTAATTTTTTTTTTAAAAAAATGTGAAATTTGTTGCCCCAAATGATGAAATGGTTTTTAATGGTAGTTTGAAGAGGTTCTGCTACCTTAAAAATACTGACGTACTGTTACCAGCCTCACATTAACAGAAATAAGAAGTAATAATATACTTAATTTAGATAGTTTTTTAAATCAAATGGTGTATCCACATAATTTCTTAACTTTCAGGAGCAAGCAATTGACCGAGAGCACGAGAGAGACGTATTCCAGCAAGAGATACAGAAGCTGGAACAACAGCTTAAGATTCCACAAAGGAGTCAGCCTGTCAATGAACATCAAACCAGAGAGGTAACACATTGTATTACTTGTACTCAGTGAATATAAATGACAAGCTGACAGCTGTTAAGATATTGTAATGAAGCTATTTGATGATGTACCTAACCTGCATCCATTTATGAGCTAGGAAAGTAAATCCCCTTAGACGAAGGGTAAGGTGTTGGGGGAAAGTGGTAAAACTGTTTGGGGGGATGGGGGTTAGCCTGATTGGTTGGTTTTAGTAGTAGACATATGGAAACTTTGTAACTTTCAAAAAGGCTCTTTCATATAACTTAATTTAGAAAATCAACTGTTTTTAAAAAACTATGGAAATATTCAGGACCACTTTAGCAATTTCACGTGTTCTTATGTTATTTTTTGACACCCTGTTTATAGCACAGGTACACAGCCAAAGGAACTGAGTTACCAGGGTTTAGCACCTGAGACGTAGTAGCGCTCTCTGGGTACACTTGAACCTCCTCAGTGAAAGTCTGTCTCCACTGAAACAAATTTAGTGACTGTAGAACAGATTTTATTTTTGTGGGTTTTCTTGTGTCCAGCTTTTTGAGCAAGGCCGATGTTTTTGCATGATTTTCTTGCCCAATTTTCAGTATTAAAATGCCTCTTACTAGGTTGCACTGCTATTTTCAAATCAAAGTTCTTACTGAGGTAGGTCAGTTGCTGTAATTAAATTCTTAAATATTTGCAATATTTAGTATTAGTAATCTGTATTATATAGTTTAGGACCACAGACAATGATAAGACATAAATTAATATATGTGAGATGTAAGTTGGCAAAATATTTGTTTACTTGTAGTTCTCAGATTTAGAGGTGTATTTCATGGGGCGGGTAATATATTTTAATACAAAAGTTTGTAAGAAATCTTACAAAATATTCAGTCAGTGCTATTTGATATGGCTGTCATCAGCCTCTGTGAACAATGAATCTTCTGGAATCAGCTGGGTATGTGTTAACCAACACATGTGGAGCAATTCTGCATCTGTTTCCTTCTATTGCAAAGTTTGTGTGCACCCCTCTCCTGTCGACACATTCCACAGATGGGGGAGACATTTTAGCACAATTGTTTTCCTGAGTCCAGGCTGTTTGTTTTGAGTTCATTTCATTATGTGTCTTACCGTATAGTATATTTTGATGTCACAATGTAATTTGGAATATTTCATAAATGTACATTTTATCATTATTTCTCATGCTTTTCTGAGATAGCTGCTTTATTTTTTCATAGTTGCGTGGGTTTTTAAATGCTCTTCTGCTTTGCATGAGCATTTTCTGTTGATAAATTAATTTATTTTTTACTATTGTTTCAGCTTACTCTGTCAACTTATTCCAGGGAGGGTTGTCATAAACGGTCTGCTCTAGACTTGATTTTTCTTTTTCCATTTCTCTCTCAGGACTTTTCTGTGGTCACTTCAGACTTTGATGTTACTCATGGATGGATAACGTCAATAATACCATCCTGTCAGCTTTATGTTCTGGTCCTCTTCTCTCCTATCTATTGAAATGCTTTGAGTCCTCTACCTTTTGGCTACATCGTAACTTCCTAATTGTAAATACTGAAATCGGTTCTTTGAGTGGGACAAACATTACTTTCCATGTCTCTTGCTCGATTGCTTAGTTTAATGCAGGTCTTAACTTATCAGGCCTAATACCATTGATTTGTTACATGTCTCTCTTATCTGTAATTTTGATTAATAATTTCTGAAATACTGCTAGAACTGGGATCTTTCCTATCTCTACTACTTCAGTTACTCTTTTACTGTCTTGTTCTGAGCCACAAACATTTGAACTACTGAGATTCAGAATGCTTTTTTTGGGTGCTTTATGCCCTATAGAAAGTGAAATTATATCATCCATCACACATCTGTTTGGTCCCATTTAACAAACCCAGCAAGAAAACAAAACCTCCTGTTTCTTGAGATGCAAGTACAGCGATTCTCTTCAATGTTGACGACCCCATGAGTTTTAGGATATGTCTGTATGTCACTAATCAACTCCTTATTTTGAAATTTTGTCACAGATTTTTAGAATGATGATATTCCTCAAAGATGCAAGTAACATCTTGACCTTAGGGTCAAGACATTCCATCTGTAGATGTTCAAGGTATCTTTTTAGTGGGCTGCACAGGGATGCCACGCTACCTGCTTTTAACTGACTGGACAGTCTGAAGGCTTGAGAAGGACAAGATCAGTTCTAGAGAGTAGGTGATACAGCACAGAGCATATGACTTCTTAAAAAATGCTGTTTGTATTTGTTAGATGTAGCACTACAGTATCCTAACTTTACGTTCTCTTTCACCTGAAGAGTAGGAGTTTCATTATGAGAAAAAAAGAGGGATTTTTTTTTTCTCTGTCAAAAATGAGTGCTGTTGCTATTGCTAGCAAACCCTTCCAACCTAGTACAATATGTTCATCTTTTTGCCATATTGTCATCAGGTTGAACAGTTAACAAATCATCTAAAGGAAAAAACAGACAAATGCAGTGAGCTTTTGCTCTCTAAGGAGCAACTTCAGAGAGATATACAGGAACGAAATGAAGAAATTGAGAAGCTAGAATGCAGGATAAGAGAACTGGAACAAGCCTTAATCATCAGTGCAGACAATTTGCAAAAGGTACTGCTTGGTCTAAAATTATCATATATTTACTACCTTCATATTTTCTTGAGAACAAAACGGTATATCTTTTTTACTTGTTTATTATTAATATTATTTATACTTAAAGGTGGAGGAAAGGAAACAGTTTGGCACCATCATAGTAAAGGGAGAATTACCTCTTGAAGTACAATTGCAAGCTGAACGAGAAGCTGTGGACAGAAAGGAAAAGGAGGTAAAATACCTGTGAAAAGTTCTATGTTTCTGCTGATATTTTGGTTTGTCAGTTTTTGCTTTCTGTTGAGTTTAGTGAACTACGCAGATGAAATTTTTTTCAACAGATCAGAGAGACAACACTTCAAATCCCTTTGAAATTCTCTTGTGAGCCATGATATTTGTTGGTTTTGTCTATGTTAATGCTTATGACTTATAAGACTCTTTCTGGAGTCAAAATTCAGCCCAATTAAGAAAAACTTCACGGTGATTTCAGCTGACTTTTAGTGGGTTTTGAAATTCCATTCAGTTTAAGGACTCAAAATGTCACTTAGTACACATTCTTTCGTTTGTACATACTAAACAGTTTACTTTAGACATTGCACTTGCAAATGATGACATTTTGTTTTTGTCTACTCCTTTTCCACCATTTATTTTGGAAACTTAGGTCACGAACCTTGAGGAACAACTGGAGCAGTTTCGAGAGGAGCTAGAAAATAAAAATGAAGAAGTTCAGCAATTGCACATGCAACTAGAAATTCAGCGAAAGGAGTCCACTACACACTTGCAAGAACTTGAACAAGAGAATAAATTATTTAAGGTAATTGTGTAACATAGAAGCCTAGAGCTTTATTCTCCCTCCTTCACAGAAATAAAAATTCTTTGAAAAAGCCAAGATGCCAAATTCTTTCTCTTTCTCAAGCATTCCACAGTTCAACTTGCAAAATACTAAAAAGCCCATATAATTACTTCTCATTCCATGCAATTTGTTTATTTTAATTCCTATGCCTTAAGTACTCACGCAAGAATATGCAGAAACATTATGTACAACTGTAATATGGTTTGGGGTTTTTTTTTTTGGTAGGATGAAATGGAAATACTGGGACTAGCTATCCAGAAATCTGAAGCTGCTACCATAAAAGACCATCATTTAGTGGCTGGGAGGCTTGCTCACATCATGCAAGAAAAGGAGCAGGAAATAGATCTTCTTCACGAACAAATCGCAAAACTGCAACAGCAACTTGAAGTCACAACTGACAACAAAGTACATACTTTTGAAATCTTTCTCAGAGTCCTACTTGGTGTTGATAGCTGTTTAAAGAAAAAAATGCCTTTATACCCCCACCGATTATATTATCTTCTATTGCTGCCTTAATTCAAAAATGCAAATGCTTGTTTCAAGCAGCGCTTTAACCCTAATTTGTTTTTCCTCTTTTGTCTCTTTTTTTATGAAGACTACTTCTTGCTTGCTTTTTTTATTATTCTGCTTTAGTTCTGCTTGAGTTTTTGTCTTAAATTCTTCTTCATACCTTATTCTTCTAATACTTCCTAGCATTGAATACTATGTAGGTAGCTGAATTCAGTCTCAACATTCATTCTACCATCTTACCCATAACGATTTACTTCCAGTGTTATGTTTCAGTGACACCTGCTGGATCATGTTGGATTTTATAGTTTTTTTAGCAGTTGAACTTTTGTGCTCCATGAGCTTGTGTAAATACTTTGTCATCATACCAATGTTGACAACATCTTTAATCCAGCTTGAAGCCTGGCAGATGTGCAAACAAAATGCTGTGTTTTATTAGAAATGACGAGCAAGAAAGAAGCAGATTCATCTTTCTTTTATTTACTGAGATTTAACACCTGTAGCTTTCCGTTACTTTTAAATTATGTGGTTTTATGATAATGAGCTTCATCTTCTTCTGGCTTACTTCCATTTTATACAGATATAACGCATTTGATTTCAACAGAAATACTACTTATTTTGCATTGATATAAGTGACAGCAGAAACAGGCCTTCAGTCTTATGGGTTTTTATAGAAAGAAAACCGGATTTGTTCAGTGGATGAATTTTGCATTCTGACCATTTTAAATGTGAAAATTTATTAATCATAAGCTTCAACCCCAAAGCAAGTATTATTCAGAAAGGTAAAAACAGGAGTTCTGTTACCCCTCAGTAGCTGATTGAACATTTAGGGTAACATTCTACTAGGACATATTGAATCCACTAAAATAGAGCTCTGACCGAGCTGGATAATCTCACTGAGTTTTTACACGCAAACTTTAGTTATAATGAACCTCAGTGAATAATGACAAAACTTTGAATTGGATTTAGGAAATTGGATTTAGGAAAGATCACACTTAAGGAATCCACAACGGTTCTGCCTTACACAGTGACCACAGTAATACAGTTACATTTCTTGCCTTGAGAAAGATACCCAAAATTCAGCTAAAATTCATTTTAATTATTAGTTCTTCTCCTGTTATAAGAAGTTTCATTTTCTTAATTTCATCCTCTTACTCAGTTATATTTTACAGGACCTAAAATAATTGCTATGCTTGATTATGAGATCAATATTAAAAATGAATAGATTGTTCTTAGGTTAATCCTTTCCTAGTCCTCCCTTAGACATCTTCATCCCACTAAGCGCTTTTCTTTTAATTGCTGTATTTGCCTTCTGTGGTCCTTTATTCCATTATGTTATGAAAACCAGAAACTGTTATGCTGACTTGATAGCAGTCACCAGAATCACTGTTCTTTTCTTCTGAAAACCAATGATTTGTTCATGTTTTATTTAGTGGTTTTGAACTTCCTCTAGTCTCTGTGGATTTTTAAAAATAAGTTGTTTGTTGACAGATCAACCCTTCTAATTTACGTGGTCACATTTATAATTTTTGTTTTACATATTATACTTACCACAAGGACATTTTATTATTCTATTTAACTAACAAAACCTGATGAAGTATTGAGAGATGAAGGAAAAAGCATGGCTATTTTAGTAGTGAATTTAATCATCTTTCTTCTCTTATGCATTTTTTTCTTCTTCATATTTCTAAAAGGCCATTTTAGAGTTCTCACCTATTTTAGGTAACATAACTGATTTTATTTTATAATATCTCTTTCTGCATATTCTTGACAGATTTCCTTCTGACTTTTTTATTTCCAGTGTAGGAGCACTGTTCATTTCAGATCTCCAGACATTCCCTTAAGAAAATATATCCACTTTGTTTCTTAAGACTTAGTACTTAAAATCTGGTCTGTCTTTATTTTGACTTTGTAAAGGATATTTTGTCATTCTTCTACTCAAATGACAATTTGCTCCCACTGTAATTTAACAAGCAGGTTTTTAAGGAATTTTATAAAATTTATTCTATTGCGATCTGATAACTTGTTTTAGTATTCCTTTTGCTAAGACGTTTTTATTTATTAAATTTAGTGTTCATCAACACCAGTCATTCCATTTTTTTGTGTCTACTCAATTATTTCTTGTTAGAAGCTGATATAAGATGGCTTCTCTTTTCTGCATCATAAAGTCATCACCCTCATATTTGCTCAGTTACATCATTTTATTAATTTTTTTGAATTTTGAGCCCCTTACCCAGCCGATAATTTTACGTGTCTTTAAAACTAATCTAGGAAAGTATTATTCTCACTCTCTTCGTGTCTTCACCAATCTCTTTGAATTTTGTTTGCATAGTCATATACCTTTTAAAATAAATACTTCTATAACTTTCTCTCTCTTTACTTCTATTTAAACTATAGCACAAAGAAATAATTGTGCTCTGGGTCTATGGGTACTATTTGCCCTGCATGGTTTTGTGCACATCTGCATATGTGTATTCACACACATAAACAAGACAAACACGTATTTAGGTTTGTGATAGGGAAATGTCAGAGTCAACCGATAGGTATTTTCTATGGTCTCAGACTAAAATGCGTATTATAATGGTATTTTTCAACACAATTAGTTAAAGGTCTATTTGTATTTAAAATACATGTCCATCTTAATTAATAAATCTATTTGACCATATGAATGAGTGGTGCTTTTGCATGAAGAGCACAGTCTGTCCAATCTAACTTAACATACCTGACTTGCATATGATAAACTTGAGGATTTTTTTTTTTCCCCAAAGGAAGTTCTGTATGTAATGTCATGCAGGAAAATATATCTATAAGTTTTAAGCTTCATAAAACTTTGTTCCTTGGAATTCTTTGAGTAAAAATAGTATATTAAAACTTGATTTCATAAGAAGATTGAACAGCAGACATGACCACTCCACTTGTTTCCATTTTAATTTTCGAAAAAAAAGGACAAGACAGAGCTTTATGCCAAGCTATTGGGAAAAAAAAGTATTGTGAACACTTAAACTTCAGTGTTACATATCTCTCTGAATATTATAAATGCTTTCACTTCATTTGATGCTTTCACACCTATTTTGCAGCTCATTAAGGCTACAGGCTACTTTGTCAGTCCTATGTGAAGATGTCCTGATTCTCATAAAGCTTTACAAGAGACATCCCATTAAGAAATTCACTGAGGACATACTTTCTTTTTTAAAATATGTTTCAATGTTTTATTAAGCAGTTGCTGTGAAGTCCAAGAGGAAAATTATCTGAGGGTCTAGTAGTTACCCGTTATGAAGTTCTTTTCTTGTATTTTTTTTTCCAGGTTATTGAAGAACAAAATGAGCATATACGGGAGCTCGAAGCCCAGATAGAATGTCTGAAAAGTGATCAAGAACGTGTGAAGAAAAAAAATTATGAGGAAGTAGAGCAGTTGAATGATGACATTGCTGCTTTTCAAGAAGATGCTGACAGTCTGAAACACACACTTGAAACAGTTCTGGCAGAAAAGGAAGCTTTGGAGAAGCAAGTAGAAAACATAAATGTAGAGGCATCTCGAACAAAGAATGAGCTTGAGGAGACTAAGTTAAAAATGAACCAGCTAAGGCAAGAAATAAGTATGTTAAAAATAGAGCATGAAAGAATAACAGAGGAATATAAGTACGCACTGATGAAAGGTGAGAGGGAAAAAGCAGAAGATAAGAGCAATAAGAAAACTGAAAAAGTGGAAGAAGGCTCATGTGAGAAGGTAGAGTTGCTAGACCAATCCCAGCTTAGGTCTTCAGATGAGAATACAAGAGTCGCCATTAGCAAGATGGAGGTACAACTGCAGCACCTTCAGGCATGCATTAAGGAAAAAGATTCAGAACTATGCCAGTCCTACAGTGAAATAAAAGAGCTGAAAGAGCAAGCCAAAGCTGAAAGAGAAACACTTAAAAAGAGGATATTAGAACTGGAAAAGGCACTGGTGGAAAAAGTTGCTGCTGCTCTTGTGAGTCAGGTTCAGCTAAATGCAGTTCAAGAACAAAGGAAATTCGTGCAGGAAATTCAGGAAGCTTCAAAATGTGTGGAGGAAGCAAGCAAGAATGCCCAAACAGAGGGTTTGAGTGATGGAACTGAAAGTCAGATGGAATCAAAATTGTCACTCTTAACACACAAGCTTAGTGAGATGCAGGACCAACTGGCAGCAGTAAATCATAACTTGGAGCTAGAAAAAGAGAATGTAAAAGCTGCACAAAAGGAAGCTAAAGTGAAAGAAGAGAGACTCTTAGAACTTCAGCAATTACTAGAAGAGATTCAAGAAAAACACAAAGGAGAGATTCAGAAAGACATTAAGCAAGAAGAAATGCAGACATTTCAGGTAATTAGATGCCATTTTCTTTTGGCTTGTTTTCACTAAAATCTGTTATTTTATGTAAACTATAACGAATGAAACACTTCTTAATGAGACTAGTGATCGAAATATTCTGCTGTGTGGGGTAGAACTTTATTCCTTTTTTATTCCTGGAGTTACAAAGAAGAGAAGGATATTATTTTAGGTGAGCCCTGCTATCAGTTTCTATTTTGCATTAAAACCACTTAGCCTTTTTGTTCATGTAGGGTGGTTTTGAATTTTGGCCATATACTTTCTTATTCTTATTTTGAATTCACATAGAATGGAGTGAATTACACTTTTACATAGTATGGAGGTAGAGAGATGAAAATCAAAATGATAAAAATTATCTAAGGGTTCAGAATGATAAGGGAGTGATAGCATTTTGTCTGTACAATGGTTTTTGGGGGGGAGGTTGTTTATGTACGCTTTGATTTCGGTTTACTTTTTCTTGCTTTCCTGTCTTGATTCCAGAGGTATTTCCCATTAGTAGTTTTTTACCAGTATACATTTGTCCTGATTTCCATCTGCCACTGGTTATGTTGCCTCTGACTTTAAAACCTTCAGTGAAAGTTGACTGTGCTTGAAAGCCCAAACATAGGCTTGATTGCTGAAACTTAAGTTCAGAGACATCATTGAAACCAGTGCTGGTCCAGAAAAGGTTCTTAGATCTTTCATGCAAATGCAGATTGAATGAATGTCATAAATGTCTTGCAAGTTTAATAATATTATCAGAGTTCATTTCCTACTTTCTGTTGACTTTCCTGCCCGCGCTTTCTACGTGGTATAGCCAATTCTGCTTGCAGTTCAGTAAACTGTAAGAAGACCGCCTTTCCTCCCACGCTTGTCTTTCCTCCCATGCTTATCCAGTTTCTGGGAGTTAATCTAGGAAAACAGTCTTTCAGTCTTAATTTTTTGAGACTATGTTAATCCAAGTAATATACATTTGTTTCCCCCTATGGTCTTTTCATTTGTGGCTTTTGTAAGTTGGTGTGAAAGTGATCAGTGCTGTTAATACTTGATTCTTTGTAAGATTCATCACCATTTTCCATATTTCGTGTTGACATGTAGGTAGGAGCACAACTCATGGAAAGTCAAAAAGAAAATGTCCTTATTACTGAACTTGAACTAGAGCAAGTTAAAGAAGAAGCAGCTGCTGCTAAGGAAGAACTGAGCAGTTACAGAGAAAAGGCAGAAAAACTTCAGCAAGCTCTAGCAGTAAGAACCAGATTGTTCCGTATTGTATTTAAGGCAAATTATTATACAGGACTTATTGTGCAAATATGCATGCTATAGGGTTTTTGGTGGGTTTTTTTTAGTTTTTTACTAAGAAAAATGGTCACTCAGTACCTACTGTCAGTGGACTAGAGCTGACGCTGTAGACCAAATCTTCACTTGTTGCCAAAGTGCATAGTTTTACAGTCGACTGTAGCACAATAGTGGATCTAGAGCTGTATTTCTTAGGAGATTATATTTGTTACCATGTGTCATAACTGCTTGAACATAGGACTAAACTGAGCTCTAATGTTATAGGGGGTTGTTTGGGTTTTAGATATTTTTTTTAAGTATTTGGAAGGATTACAATTCCGATTCTTCCTATTTATAGGTAAAAGAAGCAAGTCTGATACATCTTCAAGAAGACCTATGCAAAGTTAAAGAGAACCTAGTTCAAACAGAAGAGAGGCTTGCTAGTTACATGAGAAAGGACAAAGAAATGGCAAAAACTGAAAGCAAAAAGGATGCAGAAATATTGTGTGATTTGTCAGCCAGTGAGTCTACCCTAATTAGAAAAAGCTCATCATCACAAACAGATGAGACTGTGGAAGTCAACAGCTGTATCCAAACTTCACCAGTCCTTGTTAAAAATGCAGAAATCCAAATTGATTTGCAAAATGGATGTTCTTCAGAAGAAATTGCAGAGATCATAAGAGAATTTACTGAAAAAATTGATCAAATGCAAGAACTCCATGCTGCCGAAATCATGGACATGGAGACAAGGCATATCTCTGAATCCGAAGCATTAAAGAGAGAGAAGTTTGTTGCAGTGGAAGTATTGACTGAAGAATGTAATAGTTTAAAGGAAGTCATAGAAACTCTACGAGCTAAAGAAGTATGTATCCTGTTTTATATTCATTGAACTACTTTGGTCTGTGCTTTCGCTCCTACTACAGAAATTCCCATTTAAAGTCTGTTAAGTGTGAACCACCACATGTTCAGTATAAAGCTTTTAAATTCTCTAATGTTTCCATGGCCTAGGGAGAGATTGCAAACCCCTTCTTCAACAATTTAAGTTTGGGAGTGTGCTTGACTATCAGATACTTCCTTGTGCTACTGTCTTGGACCTGTCCTGCTCTGTGAAGTTGGGACAAGTGTAGGTCATCCTACTGAATGCCGTCTTTCTCGTCTCCATTTTGGTTACTTTAATTGCGGGGGAAACTGAACAGAGAGGCTCATATCGTTTCTGGCTCCTTAGAATTAGCTCCCTTATTGTGGGTGGGTGTGGGTCGATTAAAGATTTGAGTGTTCTCTTTTCCAAATACAGAGAGTCCCAGTTTCTGGATTAGCACGTTCTCCACCGTATCAAGCTAGAGATGGCGGTTCTAGTGGTAAGAAGCTTGTTTTTATAAATCACAAACAGCATTATAAATTAAATCATCTTTTTTAATATTAAGTTTACCATTAAAGAGTTTGCGTTCCAAGAAATAAAACCAACTACTCCCCAAATTGAAGCAGAAGCCTATCAGACTGAGAAAAGATGCTGAGCATGCCATGTCTACTAATTTGCTATGGAAGGAAAATGAGTAGAGTGGACATGGGTCAAGTCGAGGCATCAGATGCTAATTTTTTTCTTCCCACTGGAGTTCCTATATTCTTCTTACATATTACATTATCTATCCAGCATAGCTTCATCATCTCTTGATAGAATTTAAAGCTACAGCTCCCTAGCAGTAGGAGACAATGACAGGTACTGACCTCTCCAAGAGCAATAAAAATTATTAATATGATCCTTTTCATAGGCAAAGGCTAAGCATATGAAGGGGGGTCATTTGGCAGAAGTATTTGTGCAAGTAGTTGTTTCTCTTGTAGAACTAAACCAGGATTTTTAAGGTTGGTGGGGTTTTTTTTTTAGTTTTGTTTTTCTGTTAATGCTTTGAAACTGAAAATGAAAAACTATGAAACAGGTAGTCTCCAGGCTTAGAATCAACTCTGGTGACATGCAACCACCTGTTACAACAACACACAAAATTTTTTTTTTTGATGCCTGTTCTTCAAAGTTTCACAATAATCCAGCTTTCATGTTTTTCTCTGCTTTTATTTCAGACTCCAGTTCAGACTGGAGTCAAGGAATGTATCTTGCTCAGACCCAGGGATCTGACATGATATCTGAAGGAATAGATGAAGGTGAAACTTCAACAGATTTACTTCCAAAAAAAATTAAGGTAAGATAGAACTGGTCATTTGGAACAAGAGTGATACTACCAAAAGCTTAGATTAGCTCCTGCTTGATTAGTGAGAAGAGCACCATTTAGATAAGTTTTAAAGTGTTGACTATTTTAATACATTTTAAAATACTGCTGATAAATTACATGCATTTCTGCATGTTAAATTAGGTTAAATATGAATTTTGTAACTGTAGGTTTGTTCTCAGTTATGATTATGAGAAATATAAATACCATTAATTATAATTTGTTGTAGTTACTGTGTTAATGATAATGTCATGATCATATATTACACAATTTTCTAGATTCTGTTATTATAAGTGTAGAATTGTATCTATATTGTGAAAGTAAAAAAAAGAAGTTTATTTTAAACATTAAGGGTATCGTGCTTTTAACTACATTAAAAAAAAAAAAAGCAAGTCTTTTGCAACAGAGCCCTAGCTTAGTAGTAATTTCAAAAATTGAATTGCAAAGCTCACCTGGAAGCTTCCAAGGACTTTGTTTTTAAAATGTCAGTTCCATCAGCAACCATTTTAAAATTTAAAATTTGATTTGACAGATGAACTTTGGGAATTTTCATTTGAAACTGAGGACAAATACACCTCTGAAATAAGTTCTACTGTTTGGCAGATATAAAGAAGTGGGTGACACTTCTGTCTTTGGTATGAGGAAACATAAATAGTTTCCTTATGCTGATAAACTTAGAAGTAGCAGTATTAAAATATGTATGAAATAAGATTATTGTTGCTGCTGTTGTTATTATTATTAGGACTGGCATTACTGATTTCTTTTTGTATTTATTGTAGGGTTTGCTGAGAGCAGTCCATCATGAAGGCATACAGGTTTTGTCTCTCACTGAATTTCCATATGGTGAAAGAGAGATGCCACCTCTTAAGCAAGAGCCAGAATCTTGGCTGGAGGAAAGGAAAGCTTTTCTAAGCACCATTTCATCTTTGAAAGACCTAATTGCAAAAATGCAACTTCATAGAGAGGCTGAGGTATAAATAATACCATAAGATTCTATCTAATTAAAAAATAATTTATTATAACCCTATAAGGCACATTCACAATTCAGGTTTAAATGCTCTAAGTATACTGCTACAAGGCAAAAGATTTCAAAAATATGCAGTAAAACTGTATGTTGCACTTTCTGGTAATAAAATATATCTTAAATTACAGCTTGCATATGTTCTTCTGTGCTTTGATAGCTTTGGACTGTACAGATCCATCTTCTAAAAATAATTCTATTTGGAAAGCATGTTTCCAGTAGCAGTTCAAGTAGATTTTTTAATGTTATTTATTGGTGTAGTAGAACTTGGATGCTATTAAAAAGATACTATAGTGAGAGAAAAGAGGGGAAAAAAATTTTAAACTACAACACAATATTAATCAGCAATCTGTTAAAACTTGTTAGGACGTTCCTGTCTAATTACCCCAATTAGACTTTTAGATATATGTAGGTAGTTTCTATTAACTCTGCATTTCCTTCAGCATGGAAAAGTGGGGCTTAACTTTATATCATTATAAAATTAAATCATCTTCATACATAGTATCTGCACACTACCACATAGCTCTGTGAGAGTCTGGGAACGTACATGTAACATCATAAAAATTAAAAGGATAGTGTGATACAGTAACATAAATAATAACCACACTGGGCTACATTTTCAGTTAGAAAAAGCTAAATTCCATCTAAAATACAGATAAAAGTTTAGCATTTGTGCATGCAGAAGAAATCATAATGTGTACAATAAATATGCCCATTTGTATGAATTAATGTTACATAGCAATTGAGTAAGAAAAGCTCAATATTCCACTGAAAACACATGCTTGACATAAAATGATAATGACCATTCCCGATGTAATCTTTGAATTCTGCTGTTTAAATTGTTTTTATACCACTGTAGAGTTATGCAAGTACTGAATCTCCTGAAGATGTCTCAGACTGGCGAGGAGAACTTCTGCACGCTATTCAGCAGCTTTTTGTGAGAGAACAAAATGTTCTTCTTGCTGCGTTTCAAACTGAACTTGCAGAACTGGGCACAAGAGATACAGTCATACTGATGAATCAGTTAGAGCACAGACTACAAGAGCAGGTAATATAAAACATACTTTAGTCAAAGTGTGTTTGTCTGCATTAGATTTTAATTTTGAATGTATAAATCCATTTAAAAATATATTTAAAAATATATGTATTAATAGCAGTTTTAACAGTCTAAGGGTGAAAACAAAGTAAGACTTGCAGAAACAAGAGGTGTCTTTAAAAAGAAAAACTGATGTGCTGCAGGGAAGAGATTTTTGGGTGCACAAGCTATAGAAAAAATACAGCCTTCAGGGATCACTTTGAATTAAACACAGTTGTCCTGAGCTTGATTTCATTAAGTTAATTAGAATTATGTTACACTATCTAAGAGAAAAGGTAGCTTGTATATGTGAAGCAAGTGGTAAGAAGAGGAAGTGATAAGGCTGCTGTGGGACAGAGAGCGGTCAGTTATCTTCTCTGGAACATGGAAGGATTAGTGAGGAAAATTACAATTTGCCATAAAACTGATAGCTCTTTTGATTCTATAATTTTGATGCCTAGTAGAGAAATAAAAAAATAACAACCGATTCTTCCCAGTATTATAATATCAACTTAATTATGACTTAATTGAAAATGTTTTGAATATATATGCACTATTATTATATAGGTAAATGTAATACCAATACCATACATGCTCTAATAAAATCTGGAGTTTTACTTTTAAATGTTTCTAATGCTAATAGGCTACTAACCAGAGAGCAGCAATGGACTGTCTTCAGAATGCAGACAGAAGAAGTTTGCTGATGGAGATTCAAGTATTACATGCTCAGATGAACAGTAAGAAAAACAATCCAAAGAGAGAACAAGAGAGTGATTCAAAAAGCCAAGGTGACTTCTGTGGTAATACATGTCTATTTCCAAATGCTTTCGTAGTAGTGCTCATAACGTTGTAGGTGAAAAAATACCACCTTTCTTTGCTCTCTGATTTTGATACTGTTGTCCTGAGCATGCACACTTTTCATCTTTTTCAATCTTATTGGACTAATTTACCAAAAATTAAGATATAGTCTGTGTTCTAATAATTTGTATCAAATTGAAAGTGATACAAAGTTATTTCAATTGCTATAAAAATCAAGCTTTTATTTTAAGGTTATTTTCTGTGTATCCGCTTCAGTGTTTAGGTTCAACAGCTTTGAAATTATTTAAGTTGGATAATCAGTTATGAGTAAACTAAGACGCAATTAGAATGAACGACAAAAAGTTCAGAGAACAGTTATACTTTAAAATTAAGTAAATGCTCACTGTCCGTGTTTTGTCACAAACATTTGGTCACAAATATACATACCTACCTACCTTCAGTTATGTTAGTCATAATCCAAATGATACATATTGATATGGTTGCGCACATAACCTTTCAAGGAAGTTTAAGAGCTGAAGTGATTTCTTGGAAAGTATGAAAGGTATTCCAGTATAAAAGGCATGGTTTTGCTTTCACTCCACTATTGAAAACATATATTATTTTAAAATACCACTATTAGTGATAGCCTTGTGGTCATTCTTGCTAGGGAAAACTTTACCCAAATAGACAGTGTTGTTTGTTTACTAAGTAATTTCCATATTAATGGTACTCTCATTAGAAATGCTGGAGTATAATATGCAGCAGAAGCAGTCACAGATACTGGAGATGCAAGTGGAGCTCCGGAGTATGAAGGACAGAGCAGCTGAGCTTCAGGAACAGCTGAATTCAGAGAGAATGAAGGGTGCTGAGCTGAAGAATGAACTTGCGCAAGCCAAACTAGAGCTTGAAACAACCCTTAAAGCACAGCACAAGCACTTCAAGGACCTAGAAACCATCAGGTGCGGCTTTCAGTGCCAAACTTTCTGAGTTGACAGTGAAGATGATCTCAAATCATAATACTGATTTTATTAAGGAAGTTGATCCTCATGTAATATAAATGCTTCTCAGTTTTTCTGTAAAACACATCTGACAAAAAAGACTTCTGTTCCATTTGACAAAAAAATGTAATCCCATAGATAAGATCTGATTCATAGTTTGATTTAATGATTTATTAACATTGTTTCTTTTTGATTTTTGACACATTAGACTACTGTATACAAGCTAATAAGTATACCACATTTCCTAAAGGTTTTTCTGCTTCTAAAAGTGAGTATTGAGGAAAAAAATGTAGATTTAAGATGACTTTTCAAGTACTTCCATATGAAATTCTATCACTTCTAAGTGTTGCTTTGGCATGGTCAACAGCAGAGATAACAGGCCAATTAGTTGGCACTCAAGAAAGCCATTATTATTTATGCTTTTACCAGATGCGTGTGCCTATGTACGGTATCTTAACGTTCAGCTCAGAGATAACAAATTAAGACAGAATTTAAATTGGTATTACTTTATAGATTACCTTACAGCCTTTACAGATCATCAGGAGCAAGATTCTTTTGTAAATTGATGGAATTGATGAAAATTAAGGACACAGATTTTTTTTTTTTTTCCTCCAAGATAGATTTTTTTTTTTCCTTTGAGACACAACGCAGCAACATGCATTTCCCCTGCATTCTTTCAGGTTATGGCCAGCGACTGGATTAAATTGAACACTAGCTGCCTCTAACCCACAAATTAATAAAAATGGCAGCTACAGAGTTAGCAGGATGCACACACTTTCTGTCATTTTTGAGCTATGCAACTCTTTCTATTTTTGAGTTAGGCTTTTTATTCTAAATAGGCTTTTCACTGTTACTCTGCTGCACGAGCAGTGTTTTCAGTGCACAAGATGGAATAAATATCTTTTATTCCATCTTTAGTAACTGATGATACCACAATAGGATTAGAGCCATTGTCTAACCTAAAGGTTGCCTGTTTCCCTTTTAGGACTGAAGTTAAAGAAAAAGCAGCTGAGCTAGATGTTCTCAAGGATACAATGGCCAGCGAACAGAAAAAATCAAGAGAACTACGATGGGCTTTGGAAAAGGAAAAAGCTAAAATGGAACGTAGTGAGGAAAGAGGAAGAGAAGAGCTTGAGGTATTCCATAATCCCAAATGGCTGGGAATGTGAAGGAGCACGCAAGATATGCTTTTGGTTAACATTTCATTTCAGCCTACTTTTTGTCCAATGTGTGCTCCATGTTCTGTCTTCAACAGCAGTATTATACTATCTAAAGATGAAGAGAGATGTATAGAAGCTGTGTGGCAAAGAAAGAAAAAGGCCTGATGCAAATTCCATTTAAATCAATAGGAATTTTACAACTGTGCTTTTCAGGGTGAAGATGAAAAGATTCTACTTTGTTTAATAGCCCTCAGATATTCAAGGGGATGGGAGACGGCTAACGTGGCTGCACCTAGCCTCCACTACAGCCTAACTCATAACATATAATATTTAAGAATATTATTTAAGGAGATATATTGTTTGTCTCCATTTTAAAAGTCAGCAGTTTCGCCTCATGAAAACCAAACGAGGGAGTTTACTTTGGAAGAAAATGCATCAGTAGCTTCTTTGATACCCCTGCAGTATCTGATACAGTGAGGGAGAGAGCAGGTATCCTAGTACAAGTATTAAGACAAAAAAGCGATCACTTTAACAACATAGTTTTATTTACATGTAACTTGCAAACTCACTTTCACAGTTTTACAAAGTAAAAGCAGCTAGTTATCTTCAACTTCAGAACTATGGCTGTTTGTATCTCATTAAAAAGTATGTGTTACAAATATTCACTTATGAGATGATCTGATTTTAGAATAAAGACACCTGCAGTATATTTTAGTATCAGAAGTAACTGCAGCATTTAGAGTGTTGTCACATTAATTGTGAATAGCAAAACCTGTTAAAAGCAACATGTGTAGAGGTAGCATATTTGCAATTTGCAGAAGATAATGGGAAGTATACACAAATGGCTTTAATCAATTCTTCTGTTTTCTTATGGAAGGATTTAAAATTCTCACTTGAAGATCAAAAACAAAAGAACTTGCAGTTAACTAAACTTTTGGAGCAAGAGAAACAGCTGTCAACTGATCTGCAACAGAAAATCGAATCCCAAGAAGCACTCAGCGCTGCCCAGCTGTCACGTGAACGAGGCCGTAATTCTGAGTTGCAGGTGCTTCTTGAATCAGAGAAGGTTCGAGCTCTTGAAATAAGCAGTGCCCTAGAAAGGGAAAAAGAGCTATGTGCTCAGCTTCAAAGTGCTGAAGATAAGGGGCAAGCTGGAACACCTAATCCATCTGAGGAATTACTTAAAGAGCTACAGAAACAAATGGATGAAAAGCATGACCGTATAGTGGAGTTAGTAAGTGAGATGGAGAAGTACAAACTGGAATCTGTGCAAGTGAGACAGCAAATGGAGAAAGAAAGGCAGATCCAGAGGAAAGCGTTACAAGCAGAACAAGATGCTAACATAATAGCACAGAAGAAACTCCATGAACTGGAGTCCAAAGTCGAAGACCTTCAGTGGCAACTTGGAGAAAAGAAGCAAGAAGTTCATAAATTAGGGAATGAAACAAAGAAGTTGCAGGAAATAATCCAAGAACTACAGAAAAGAGAGCAGGAGAATGAAGGAAGAAAGGAAGACGAAAGGACACCAAGACACAATCCAAATGAGGTACAGTAGGACTGAGAGCAATGTGTAATACCGAACTGTGCAATTTAGCTTTTAATTCTTTTGTTCAATCAGCATTGTGTGTCAATATGTCTTTACTCGATCTATAAGACAGCCTGCAGATTACAAAATACAGGCACCAGAGAAAGGGAAAGGGAAAGCATTCCAGTTTTGCTACCCAAAACTGTTCACACACATCCTCTGAGAATGCAGCTGTAGAGCTGTAAGGAGCATGAGCAGGAGAAATGCATCTGAATGTATACACGTACTTTGTGTCTCAGTATAGGAGAAGATTCCCTGCACCCAGTCGCAGGAATGAGCTATTCTTACTCAGGAGTGCTCCAGGTCAGTGCTCTTAATCTTTAGTTCAGAAACCACAGGTCGTCTTTGAAACATTTAAAAGTGATCTCCCAACAACTTCAATATTTAAATGAGGAAGTAATCAAACAAGCATATGCATGAATATGTGTATGTTAGCAAACAAAATGGAAGAAATCAAGTTAAAAAATTAATTTAAGAATTCAGCCTAATTTTTAGATGAATGAAAGTTGGAACACTTTTGCCCAAAAAATTTTCTCTTTCATAAAAGGTTGGGAAAGTTTAAAAATTATTTTTAAATTACTTTTAAAACTCCTCAGAAACTTCCCTGTAAGAGATAAGTGTTGCTGGGTGAGTGATTTGTGGATAGTCCTAGAGAAGATTGACAGGAAACTTGCCTCTTTGCTCACCGTGGTTTTGCCCATCTTGCCATCATTCCATGCTTTTTGGCAGCTGTCTCTGTGGAGCCAGGGAGGAAATTTTTCTCTTCATCTAATTTGGCTACTGGTTTTAATCCTCTGAAGCATTGGAAACTACCCACGGCTAGAGGCAGGACATTCGAGTGTATTGATAACTCTGTGTTGTGGTTTGACCCTAGCCGGCAACTAAGCCCCACACAGCTGCTTGCTCACTCCCCTCTCAGTGGGATGGGGGAGAGAATCAGAAGAGTAAAAGTTAGAAAACTCATGGGTTGAGATAAAGACAGTTTAGTAGGTAAAGCAAAAGCCGTGCATGTAAGCAAAGCAAAACAGGGAATTAATTCACTGCTTCCCATGGGCAGGCAGGTGCTCAGCCATCCCCAGGACAGCAGGGCTGCATCATGCGTAACGGTTACTTGGGAAGACAAAATGCTGTAACTCTGAACATCTGCCCCCTTTCTTCTTCTTCCCTCAGCTTTATATGCTGATATATACAGTGTGGGACATCCCCCTGGTCAGTTGGGGTCAG